TGGACAAATGGTAGCCCGTGTCAGCAGTGCCTTTCCTGCCGATTTTCTGTAAAAAACAGCTTTAAAATGGGGTGGGTTTTTGTGTGTGTGTGATTTTGCCCAAAAAAGTGCAACAACTTTGGGCAAAACCAAAAAAGGCTCAACAACTTTGGAAAAATACCGGTCCAGATTTTCACTGTTTGAAATATGGCAACCTTAATAAGTGTGTCAAAAAAAGAGTTCCCTTGCTTAGGCCTCTGGGTAAAGAAACCGCTTTTTGGCATTCAAAACAATCTTATCGGGCTGAGTCATTGTGTTATCTAGGTGTACTCTGCTTCAAGGCCAGGAATGAGGCCTACTAAATGGGAAATGGTTTCAGCTGTGTGGGAATGCATGTACGTCAAGTTTCCAGAAGTTTCCAGCCTCAAAGCCTTCTGATTGGCTCAGGAGACTCACCTTGGTTGCTATGCCCTTTGCAATACCTGGAGACCAAGCCTTTTAAGGTATGGATAATAGCCTGCATAAAAGATCTTATGGACCGTATAGAGTTAGTTCAAGTTAGAGTTGTTATCTTAGTCTGAGATGTGCATCCATGTAATGGCTGCAACCCAACCGAGCCTCAAACTTCCCCATTGAGAGCTAGGACTTGCAACCATGTGTTCTGGTGACCTTGGGGCACATCCTGTCTCCTTGGCTAGCTAGACCTCTGGAACTGGCTGTGCAACATCGCTCTGGTCAACAGCGCTTCCACCTTCACTGGACTGGCCCTCTCTGGGATCGGAAGATAGGAATGGCCTGAGGGTGCCTAGACCCAAGGGTCCAGATGATCGCACCCAGTGATTTCATGTTGTTTGTTGTTGTTTAGTCATTTAGTTGTGTCCGACTCTTCGTGACCCCCTGGACCAGAGCACACCAGGCACTCCTGTCTTCCACTGCCTCCTGCAGTTTGGTCCAACTCATTCTGGTAGCTTTGAGAACACTGTCCAAACATCTCGTCCTCTGTTTTCCCCTTCTCCTTGTGCCCCCCATCTTTCCCAACATCAGGGTCTTTTCCAGGGAGTCTTCTCTTCTCATGAGGTGGCCAAAGTATTGGAGCCTCAGCTTCAGGATCTGTCCTTCCAGTGAGCACTCAGGGCTGATTTCCTTAAGAATGGATAGGTTTGATCTTCTTGCAGTCTCCTCCAGCACTATAATTCAAAAGCATCAATTCTGTCGGCGATCAGCCTTCTTTATGGTCCAGCTCTCACTTCCATACATCACTACTGGGAAAACCATGGCTTTAACTATACGGACCTTTGTTGGCAAGGTGATGTCTCTGCTTTTTAAGATGCTGTCTAGGTTTCTAGTGATTTCATAACAGATCTCAAAAAGTATGGGGAGGCAGGATGGAAACATGGAGAACATCACAAGCTAAAGCTCGCTGGGTGGACCAGCCGTCTCCCAGCACCACCTTCCGTCATGGCTCTGGACCAGCGACCCTGAGATGCAGAGACCTCTTGCATCAGGAGAGGGATACACTCCCCATTCCTTCCGGTAAGGACCAACTGGTAACAGAGCCTACATTTTGTCCCTGGAGGCATAAAGAAGCATCTCTGCCACTGGACACAGGTGAGTGGACTATATACTCCTTGGAGGACCAGGAAAGACCTGGCCCTAATAATAATATGAATAATAATAATAATAATAATAATAATAATAATAATAATAATAATAGTTATTTATACCCTGCCCATCTGGCTGAGTTTCCCCAGCCACTCTGGGTGGCTCCCGACAGAATATTAAAAACACAATAAAACATCAAACGTTAAAAACTTCCCTAAACAGGGCTGCCTTCAGATATCTTTTAAAAATAAGATAGCTGCTTATTTCCTTGACATCTGATGGGCGGGCGCCACTACCGAGAAGGCCCTCTGTCTGGTTCCCTGTAACCTCACTTCTCGCAGGGAGGGAACTGCCAGAAGGCCCTTGGTGCTGGATCTCAGTGTCCGGACTGAACGATGGGGGTGGAGACTCTTCTTCAGGTATACAGGACTGAGGCCGTTTAGGGCTTTAAAGGTCAGCACCAACACTTTGAATTGTACTCGGAAACATACTGGGAGCCAATGCAAATCTCTCAGGACTGGTGTTATGTGGTCCCGGCGTCCACTCCCAGTCACCAGTCTAGCTGCTGCATTCTGGATTAATTGCATTTTTCCGAGTCACCTTCAAAGGTAGCCCCATGTAGAACGCATTGAAGTAGTCCAAGTGAGAGATAACCAGAGCATGCACCACTCTGGTGAGACAGTTTGCAGGCAGGTAGGGTCTTAGCCTGCGTACCAGGTGGAGCTGGTAGACAGCTGCCCTGGACAAGAATTGACCTGCGCCTCCATGGACAGCGGTGAGTCCAGAATGACTCTCAGGCTGTGCACCTGGTCCTTCAGGGGCACAGTTACCCCATTCAGGACCAGGGAGTCCTCCACACCCACCCGTCCCCCTAAACCAGTACTTCTGTCTTGTCAAGATTCAACCTCAATCTGTTAGCAGCCATCCATCCTCCAACTGCCTCCAGACACTCACACAGGACCTTCACCGCCTTTACTGGTTCCGATTTAAAGAGAGGTAGAGCTGGGTATCATCTGCATACTGATGAACACCTGGCCCAAACCCCCTGATGATCTCTCCCAGCGGCTTCATATAGATATTAAAAAGCATGGGGAGAGGATGGAACCCTGAGGCACCCCACAAGTGAGAGCCCAGGGGTCTGAACACTCATCCCCCACCACCACTTTCTGAACACGGCCCAGGAGGAAGGAGCGGAACCACTGTATAACAGTGCCCCCAGCTCCCAGCCCCTCAAGACGGTCCAGAAGGATGTTATGGTCGATGGTATCAAACGCCGCTGAGAGATCCAGCAGAACTAGGAACCAGCTCTCACCTTTGTCCCTAGCTCGCCAGAGATCATCAACCAGTGCGACCAAGGCAGTTTCAGTCCCATGATGAGGCCTGAATCCCGACTGGAAGGGATCCAAATGGTCCGCTTTTTCCAGTACCACTTTCTGGACACCACTTTCTGGACACAGCCCAGGAGAAAGGATAATATATTTATACCCCACCCATCTGGCTGGGTTTCCCAGCTTTGTAGCTTTAACCCTGCTGCCTAGATGAAGTCAATGGCTACAGGAAAAGGCGCCTGCCTTTTAATTGGAAAAGCGATGCTCACACATCTCACTTGGGGTGTAGGGAATCCCTTCCCAGCACAGAACATAGAGATCAGTCTGACTTGGAGAAATCATTTCCTTAACGACGGGCAATTCTCTCTCCTGCTTGGTCTCTCATCTTCCGGACTTTTTATTCATTTCAGCAACCCTGTAGAGTTCAAGGTGTGATTGCTATCATATAGTGTTGTGTATGTGTTATAAAAGGATGCCCACCCTCAGATTTTTTCCCTACATACCACGGGCATTTCAGAAATCAAGTTTATGGTTTCATAGCTCTCTGGGGCAGTCATCAACACAGAGCAATTTCCCATTAAAGTAAAGGATGTTGACCCTCAGAGTAACACTGCGGCAGAGAGGCTGTTGTCAATTCAACATATTGTGAACCAGGAGTGGTTTTATGGTAGATGATCTTCGGAGTTTCACAAACTGGCATTGAGGAGGGGAAAGCTCTCACTTCAGAGCTGGAGAATAAGCCTCATCTGCACTAGGCATTTAAAGCAGGATCGTACCACTTCTAAAGGGACAGAGCCTTTAAACCACAGAGCCTAGGGCTTGCCGATCAGAAGGTCGGCAGTTCGAATCCCCGCGACGGGGTGAGCTCCCGTTGCTCGGTCCCTGCTCCTGCCAACCTAGCAGTTCGAAAGCACGTCAAAGTGTAAATAGATAAATAGGTACCACTCTGGCGGGAAGGTAAACGGCGTTTCCATGCGCTGCTCTGGTTCGCCAGAAGCTGCTTAGTCATGCTGGCCACATGGCCCGAAGCTGTACGCCGGCTCCCTCGGCCAATAAAGTGAGAGGAGCGCCGCAACCCCAGAGTCGGCCACGACTGGACCTAATGGTCAGGGGTCCCTTTACCTTTACCTTTACCTAAACAGTCATGGATTCCACCTCCCCAAAAAATCTCTCTCTCTCTCTTTTTAATGAGTTTATTTACAGCACATACACACACACTTGTAAAACTAAACATGAAAATAATAATACACAATCGAAAGAAAAAACCAAAAACCAAAGAAATACAAATAAAGCATAACAATGTACGAAAACTTATACAAAACCAAAAACCAACAATTTATATACACCATATTTCAGTTCTTCTTTTCTTCCAATTGACTTCCTTCATCCTCAACAAGGTTCTCTTTTCGTTTTTGGTAAACTGTCTCCTCCTTAGTTCGTTATTACGCCTTTTTCTTACAACTTTTTTGTCCCGGTTTTCGCTTTTTGAAATATGGCAGCCCTACTTAACAGTCAACCCCTCCTCCCTGGGAACTCTGGGAATTGTAGTTCTGTGAAGGGGGAATTAGGATCTCCCACCACCTCTCGAGCTGGAGGGACCATTGCCCAATTAGTTAATGATTTGAAAGGAGCATTTCAAGGCTGACAACAGAGCTGTGTTTCTTGAAATTCTCATGCCACTCAGGGGTGAGGTATGCGGTTCTCTAATCAGAGCTTCACGGATTTCCTGCTTTTCAAAGGGCTGTGGCCAAATTCATATCCCCGAACAGCCTCAGACAGTTACACAATAGCAAACAAACTTCCTTTTGTGCGGCTGGTAGTTCCCCCACTCCTTTATTCTCCGGCCTTCCTCCAGCTTACCAAAATAAGGCTCTTTTCTAATTGGATTTACATTTTTTTCAACTTCAAAGTGCTCTTGTCAGTCCAAGATAGTTCATCAGGATTTTTTATTAAGTTCAAGCACTGAGATCCCAATCTGAATGAGACACCAGCAGGAGGAGACAGAAAATGGAAAAATTATTGCATGTAATATGAACAAAAAACTGTTTTCTGTAGATACCTTAAACAATGGAAAGGATTTCTTCCCATTTGCCATACTCCAGATCTGCTTTATGATTTTTCTAAGCGCAGATGCTCAAAAATAATAATATCTGTTGGCAGAACTTTTAAATCAAATTGTCTGATGCGGAAGCAGGAACACTGAGAACCAAATTCTTCCTTCTTCCTCCCTCCCTCCCTCCTTCCCTGTCTGTCTGTTGCACCGCCATATGGCAAACAACTTTCCCCATTTGGATTACATCTCAATCTTTTCCAGCCGCCTTTGGATTGAGCTTTTAAAGAAAAAGAACAACGGTCACAGATGGCAAATGCCCCGCCCACTGTGGGAGGAGCTTAGCTGTTCGCAGCCCTCCTTTCCTACTTCCAAGACTCCAGCTGTACTCCTCTTTGGCTGCGGAGATATAAGAAGCAGAGGTCACCACCACGGAAGGGAGGCGGTGAATGGGAGGGCGCTCAAAGGAGGAGAAGTGCAAATCCTTTGGGGAAAAGAAATCTGAGGTGAGTGGCATCTCTCCCCAAAAGAGCTGTCCTGGGTGCTGCCTTGGTTGTTAATGCCCTTATTAAGATTCCCTGCAGAGTAACGGTTTGGGAAGTGTGAGGATTTCTCTTCCATTTGCCCCCAAACCGACCCCAGATCTCCATCCTCGGTGGATGGGAACAGAGTGCTAATGAAGCGACCTTTTGCAAAGGGGCGAGCAGGAACAAATCCTTTGGCAAAGGGGGAAAACTCACCCTTGGCTCAGACAGATGCAGTTTATTAACAAGTCTTGAAAGCCAAACGGTGTTCCAAGTGATTTCTTCCTATATAACGGGCCGTGAGCACGCATCTAAAACCAATGGATGAGCTGGGAGACCCTCTCTTTTGGCCACTGCCAACAGCAGGAGGGGATCAGTGGCAGCAAGAGTTTGCAAAACATCTGGCAAGGAGGCTTCCCGTCAGCTTGCAAATGGAACAGCAAGTAATCTGTGAAATGTTAACATCTGGAGGGAAGCTGTAGCCAGTTCCCAAAGTTGTCGCTGAAGCCAAAAGAACCGAGAGGCAGAATCACACTTTCTCAAACTAAATAACTCTTTATGTGGTTTGCAAAAGATTAATTGGATAGCTCAGTCGGAAGAGTTGTTCTAGCTTGAAGCAGAACGATGAAGCGGGTTTAAAATTATATTTTGTTTTGCTGGTAGAGCATGAGACTCTTAATGTCAGGGTCAGGGGTTAAGAGCCCCACCTTGGGCAAAAAAAATAAATCCTGCATTGCAGGGGGTTGGTCTAGATGGCCCTTAGGGTCCCTTCCAACTTTGCAATTATATGATTAGCAGTAATGTACGAAATTTCAACACCTTCTAGTACTTACCGTATTTTTTGCACCATAACACTCACTTTTTTCCTCCTAGAAAGTAAGGGGAAATGTCTGTGCGTGTTATGGAGGGAATGCCTACAGGTGGCGGGGGGATCTGCTGCAGCCGTGAGCAGAGGATCCATGGTTCCCCTTCCTTCCCTCCTCCGTGGCTCGCTTTGAAACAGCAAAGCGGGAGAAGAGCCGCTGAGTGGGGCGGAGAGAGGGACAGAGAGCCTGCTTGCTTTAAAGGAGCAAAGCAGGAGAGGAGAGGAGCCTTCTCCCCTTATACCCCTCTTCTTCATTATTAGCAGCATCCTTCTCCTTGTCCCTTGAGTGCTTTTCCTTCCCTCCCTACTTAAAACATGGTTACAAAGCACGGATCCACATGGATCCTCAGGATTTTTGCACTGGGTCACCCCAAATTCACCATCAAATCACATAACATGTCCATGGCTACATCTTGCACCAAAAAAAAATCACGCACCCACTGTTGCCTGGGGCCGCAGTGGTGCAAAAACGTGCTTACAAAGCATAGATCCACATGGATCCTCAGGATTTTTGCATTGGGCTACTCCAAACTCACTGTCAGATCACATGTCTGTGTCCACAGCATGAACCACAAAAATAATACATCCACTGTTTCGTTTAGAATATTTTTTTTCTTGTTTTCCTCCTCTAAAAACTACGTGCATGTTATGGTTGGGTGCGTGTTATAGAGCGAAAAATACGGTAAGTGATATTTACAATGCCAAAACAATAAAGGCATACGCAACTCAATATATCAAAGCCAAAGAGTCCAAATATTCCTCAACAAGTCCAAGAGAACAACTCTTCATGAAGAATCACATTTTCAGCAAAGCACACGTCTGTTGTTATAGATTTAAACACAAGCAATCTATCAGTTTTAACAGCCTTTAACAGTATATGTATATATGTTTTAAAAACAGGTGATTTCTGTTGCAAATCTATTGTGAACAGTGTTAGGAAAGTTGTTGCATATGCTAGACAACCGGATGGCGCTGTGGGTTAAACCACAGAGCCTAGGACTTGCCGATCAGTAGGTCGGTTGTTCCGATCCCCGCGACGGGGTGAGCTCCCGTTGCTCGGTCCCTGCTCCTGCCAACCTAGCAGTTTGAAAGTGCAAGTAGATCAATAGGTACCGCTCCAGCGGGGAGGTAAATGGCATTTTCGTGCACTGCTCTGGTTCGCCAGAAGCGGCTCAGTTATGCTGGCCACATGACCCGGAAGCTGTACGCTGGCTCCCTTGGCCAATAAAGCGAGATGAGCACCGCAACCCCAGAGTCGGACACGACTGGACCTAATGGTCGGGGGTCCCTTTACCTTTTGCTAAAAGAGAGATGGGGAAAAGGCTTAAAGTTGGGTTTATTTTTAGACACCTGGGGTTCAATTTAAAGGTTGTCTTCTACAGGGATGGAGAAAGAATTCAATTTTGTTTGCATTTTAATGAGAAAACACCCATTCCACACTCCTCAAACCAATATGCAAAGTGAAACACTTTCTTTGAAATTCGATGCAATTTTCCAACCAAAATGCGTATATCAAAGGAAAGTATATTAGTGAAAAATAACATACATAATGCATCAGATATGAAGAAATTACTGGCAAAAAGTATATATTGTTCAAAGAGGAGTAGTAAAAAATGTGTTTATTAGGAGAAATTCGCACTAAAATGCTGATGAATTTTCACTTTTGGGTTCATTTTATTTTTATTATTTATTTTGTGGTTGTTTTACATATTGATTTTATTCTGTGAACCACCCTGAGACCCACAGGTATAGGGTGGTATATAAATTCAATTAATGATGATGATGATGAATATAATTGTAAATTGCTGCTGAAATGTGAATTTGCTCAAACTCCAGCTTTGCACAGGATTCAGTGGTTGGTGCAAAGGCTCCTGGGATTGCACTTGCAAAGGCTCATGGGAGTCCTGTTTTTGTGCCCTCTCTTCTGGGCTATTTTAGGGTCGGTTTTGCCATTTTAAAAGTCGCTTCCGGGGCCGGTGCAACACGTGCTTGTGCTATTAAAGAAAAGAGCCACATACAGTGGCGTAGCGTGGGTTGTCAGCACCCGGGGCAAGGCAAGTAATTTGCGCCCCCTAACCCGTGGATTTGTGCCCCCTAAACCATGGATTTGCGCCCCCTAACCCATGGATTTGCGCCCCCTAACCCTAACCCCCAGATGTTGCGCCCGGTGCGGCCGGCCCCCCCTGCACCCCCCAAGCTACGCCACTGGCCACATAATCTAAGAGAACTGGATTCCTCCACTCCCGTTTGCTTGGGGATCAGATCGCACTCTTGCATATTCTACTTCTGTAATTCCTCCTGCCCTGAAATATCCAGTTACTTTCCCCATCCACCCCTTCACTTCTGTTTGATACAGGATCCCTTCCAGTAAAGGAACCAGGACGGAATCTGCTGGGTTCGTAAAAGTTCTGTGCATTCTTACCACTTCTTTCGCCGTTGGCGAAACTGATTCCCACCTTTGCCTGGTCTAAATGGACTGGGTTGGAGGAGAGAGAGTTCCCATCCTGCTCCAGTTTCAGGTAGCAAGTGGTCAGGGATGATGGTAACTGTAGTCCAACACCATCTTGGACATTAAGAGTGAAGGGGACCATCTTGGAAGGGAGGAGGGGGTGGTAGCCTGCAAGAGAGAATTCTTTATAGGGAGCTGTAAAACGCATGCAAGCCAGTAGTTTAGTTTGTAGTAAAGGTAAAGGTACCCCTGACCATTAGGTCCAGTCACGGACGACTCTGGGGTTGCAGCACTCATCTCGCTTTACTGGCCAAGGGAGCCGGCGTACAGCTTCTGGGTCATGTGGCCAGCATGACTAAGCCGCTTCTGGCGAACCAGAGCAGCGCACAGAAACGCTGTTTACCTTCCCGCCGGAGTGGTACCTATTTATCTACTTGCACTTTGATGTGCTTTCGAACTGCTAGGTGGGCAGGAGCTGGGACCAAACAACGGGAGCTCACCCCGTTGCGGGGATTCAAACCGCTGACCTTCTGATTGGCAAGCCCTAGGCTCTGTGATTTAGACCACAGCGCCACCCACATCCCTGTAGGGAGAGTAGGAGAGCTGAAAATAATGCCGATATATTTCGCATCTGCCAACCAATGCACCCCTTTGGTTTCAGATGAGTCCCAAAATCCCCAGGACACAAATTTCCACCGCCCTCTAGCAGATAAGGGGCTCATTTGTCATCATTAATGTATTTAGCGTCAACTCTGGAAGTGGATCCTCAATTCTGACCAAACTAAGCCTACTTTTGCAATTGTAAAGGTAAAGGACCCCTGACAGTTAAGTCCAGTCGCGAACGACTCTGGGGTTGCGGCGCTCATCTCGCTTTACAGGCCGAGGGAGCTGCCGTACAGCTTCCGGGTCATGTGGCCAGCATGACTAAGCCGCTTTTGGCAAAACCAGTGCAGCTCACAGAAACGCCGTTTACTTTCCCGCTGCCGGAGCGGTACCTATTTATCTACTTGCACTTTTTGGGGTGCTTTCGAACTGCTAGGTTGGCAGGAGCTGGGACCGAGCAACAGGAGCTCACCCTGTCATGGGGATTCGAACCGCTGACCTTCCGATCGGCAAGCCCAAGAGGCTCAGGGATTTAGACCACAGCCCCACTCGTGTCCATTTTGTGATTGTACGTTGTATTAAACTGTTCCTAATGTTGCTGATAATCGTAACATTCCTTAGGAACTTAAGGTGAAGGCCAGATGAAAAATATCTGGAGGATGATATTGTTAGAATTCCTGCTCCATGATTGCAGTCATGGGATTGTTGTCTATCACATGACAGTATATGTTTTGACTCCACAGAGTGGGAAGTGACGGAGACAGGATGTTTGTGTTACTGTGTTCCATGAAGTGGGACTATTGTCCTTTGTTCTTTTTCTCTTTGCTGTCTGATGCTAGAGAGACAGGGAGCCATCTTGCAGTGCTCCGTGTGTGTTTATGTGTAAATAAAGTAGATTAGCCAAAATGCTGAGTTGCTGAGGTCTGTTACGCAACTGCGAAGACTGCGGATCCCTAAGTGTGCCGATGTTGGTTGGGCTGAAGAAAGCTTTTGAAGCTCCCGAATGATCGACAAGGAGGGAGAGAACATGCCAGTCGGGCATGTGTCTCTGCCAGGGTCCTACTCGAGTGTAGGATGATCTCCTGACAGATATCTGGAGGACCACAAATTCTTCGGTCCTGTGTTAAATGTAATAATAACTGAGGACAAGTTGAAGGCCTTTAGAGGACAGAGATGAAATGGGGAGCTCCCAGTGTGGAGAGCCAGTGTGGTGTAGTGGTTAAGAGCGGTAGTATCGTAATCTGAGGATCCGGGTTCGCGTCTCCGCTCCTCCACATGCAGCTGCTGGGTGACCTTGGGCCAGTCACACTTCTTTGAAGTCTCTCAGCCCCACTCACCTCACAGAGTGTTTGTTGTGGGGGAGGAAGGGAAAGGAGAATGTTAGCCGCTTTGAGACTCCTTAGGGTAGTGATAAAGCGGGATATCAAATCCAAACTACTACTACTACTACTACTACTACTCTTCTTCTTCTTCTTCTTCTTCTTCTTCTTCCTCTTCTTCTTCTTCTTGTGATATGCTTTGGCCTTGCGAAAATGCCCCCAACACCGCCTTATCAATCTTCTGAGGGGCATGTGAATGTAAGTGAGGAAAGTGTTTGATTTCTTTCATGCCAAAACTTGTATTTTAAATGCGGCATTCTTCAGCAGCATGCACAGTGCAACCTCTGGGTTGCATTTGCCTACAGTCCTATCTGCACTGTGCATTTAAAGCAGCATCATGCCGCTTTAAACAGCCATGGCTTTCCCAAAGAATCATGGGAAGTGTAGTTTGTTAAGGGTCCAAGGGAAAGAAGCCAAGAAGCTGATCAGAACAGAAACCAACTTGGTTCCTCTTGGCCAACCTTTCCAAAAACTGCTGCCCTACAGATGTTCTGGACTCTACAATCTGGACACGTTCTGAACTATTGTCCTCATCTAAGCATTTTTCATGGTGACCTGGATTTTTTGAAAGTTGCAATAGTGCTTGTTCCAACACATTAGAAGGTTCTGTGGCAGTTTAAGTGCTTAACTGGGAGGCCTGTGGATGCTGCAATGTTGATTTCTTGGCAGAAAGATACCTTGGATTGAGTAGCAACTGAGGTACATTGGGTAAGGACAGGGAATAGAACTGGCTTCCTTGAGGGTACATAAATCAGATCAGTCAATTTATTCCGGATTACATAGTACCTGGGTGGGGACCCTTCTGTCTGTAGGAGAAGGGCAGACACTACTAGGCTCTCCTGAAAAGGTTCCTGCATTTAAAAACGTATATTATGCTCATAGCAAAGCCTCTGGTTGATGTTTACAGACAGCTTAAAACCACAATACAAACATGTAAATCAGACCCTCCAAGTGTCCCTATTTCCCAGGGCCATCCCTGATTCAGAGAAGCTGTCCTGGTTTCTGATTTGATCCTGGAATGCGGCTACTAGATGGGTGACAGGGACCGGCTTCTGGGACCATCGTTCCTAAAGGATCTTCACTGGCTCCCAGTATGTTTACGAGCACAATTCAAAGTGTTAGTAAAAGGTAAAGGGACCCCTGACCATTAGGTCCAGTCGTGTCCGACTCTGGGGTTGTGATGCTCATCTATCTTTATTGGCCGAGGGAGCTAGCGTACAACTTCCGAGTCATGTGGCCAGCATGACTAAGCCGCTTCTGGCGAACCAGAGCAGCGCACGGAAACGGCGTTTACCTTCCCGCCGGAGCGGTACCTATTTATCTACTTGCACTTTGACGTGCTTTCGAACTGCTAGGTTGGCAGGAGCTGGGACGGAGCAATGGGAACTCTCCCTGTTGCGGGGATTCGAACCACCGACCTTCTGATCGGCAAGTCCTAGGTTTAACCCACAGTGCCACTCGCGTCCCCCACAATTCAAAGTGTTGGTGCTGACTTTTAAAGCTCTGAATGGTCTCAGCCAGTATACCTGAAGGAGTGTCTCCACACTGGACACTGAGGTCTATCTTCGAGGGTCTTCTAGTGGTTCCTTCACTGCAAAAGGTGAAGCTACAGGGAATCAGGCAGAGGGCCTTCTCAGTGGTGGCACCCGCCCTGTGGAACGCCCTCCCGTCAGATGTCAAGGAGATAAAGAACTACACAACTCTTAGAAGACATCTGAAGGCAGCCCTGTTATCGGAATGTTTTTAATATTTAATGTTCTATTCTGTTTTTATATCTGTTGGAAGCCGCCCAGAATGGCTGAGGCAACCCAGCCAGATGGGCAGGGTATAAATAAAGTACCAGTTTTAGGACATGCTCAGGACTTGAAGTCGAAAGAGGGTTGCACGCGTGAAGAGAAAGTATGTGCACAAGCTGCACACTTCACAACAGACTAGAGATGTGATTTTTTTTTTTTTAAAAAACAAATTAGGAACCCTTAGGAGACAGGGTCCTATATTCCCCTTTGGCCTCTTGCTGTAGCATACACAAAGACCTGAACAAAAACAGTTGACTCTCAGAGTTCTTATTTCAGGTGGAGGATAATGTAGAAGACCCAGAAATGGACGTCCGCCTTGTCCCCGTCGGACAACTAAGGAAACCTTGGATGAGTTTGCTGCGTCATTATGAACACCGATGCTTCATCCGCTGCCTGGCTGGCTTGTACAGCTGTCAGTGGCAACGGGATCGCCAGAACAGGATCGAGCGGGGCCAGTGCTGCTGCTGCAGGGTGAATGCAGATTCCTGTTAGATTCCTTAAGAAATAAGTCCCAGCGCATTGGTGGAAAACCTCGCCCCTCTCTCCCAGTGGTGTAGCGTGGGTGGCCGACACCCAGGGCTGCTCAGAGGGTGTAGGTGGGAGCGAGGTAAATGGATGGAGGATGCATGCACATTCAATTGTCTAACAGCATCCACATCACCAAGGAGACCGCAGGCACAGAAATAAAAAAACCAAGAGTTATTCCATTGTCTGGAGAGGATACCGTATTTTTCACTCCATAGGGCGCACCTAGTTTTTAGGGGGGGGAAATCAAGAAAAAAAATCTTATTCAATTTTTGGAGGGGGAAAAGTGCGTCCTATAGAACAAAAAATACAGTACTTCCTGCTTTGCACAGAGAAGCTGTTTTCAATGGAGCCTTCACCCCTAACAATTTTGCGCCTGGGGCAATTGCCCTGTGGTGCTCCCAGGTTACGCCACTGCTCTCTCCCTCTGCCCAATGGCCCTATTCCTTTGGGGGGAACTGGCTGGGGCACGGGCGGGTGGTGGTCAGACCCCAAAGCGAGTGGGCCAAAACACGTACACCGTACACACTCCTCCTCCTCCTGTCTCCTTCCCCTGTCTCTCTCCATCTTCCCATTCTCTGAGCAGGGGTGGAGGAAGGGGTGTGTGGTGGGGGTGGGTTGCCCCAGGTGTCACCACTGAGGGGGGTGACAAAATGCCGGGCGGCACTCACCGTGGGGCCTGTAGCGTGTTCGATCCATGCGTCTCTCCTGGGAGTGATGGGGTGGCTTGGGTGCCCGCAGACTCTGTGGCTGCAGAATCTGTGGCCTTTTAGAAGTGGTGGGATGTTTTAAATGCATTTCTCTTCCTTTTAATGTACCTGGGGGGGGGCAGGTTCCCAGTCCGTTTGGTTGTTTGGGTTTACGTCACTTTGGGTCGCCTTGGGCAAGGCGAAGCCACTAGCAAATGAAATAAATAAATGCATGAGGACATTTTAAAGAAGTCACCTCTGTAGATAAGAAGCAAGCTTTCTTATTCAGCCGAACCAGGGGCTGCCAGCCATTTTGCACATTTGCACAGGAGACGAACCTTCAGTTTCAGTTGAAAAAAATAGCTTTTATTTTTATAATTACTGACCTCTCATTTGGGTTTTCTTTCCCTTTGTTTCCAGAGGGAATGCATCTTTTTCCTCCTGGTGTGCCTGGCGTTCTGCCTTTGGTTCGTCTTTCTGTACCTGTGGGGAGAAACCAAGAATGACTACCATAATTTTGACTGGTAGGTTCCCTGGTTATCTGACCTTCGAAAGCAACATCCTTAAAGAAAAGGGTTGCTTCTAGGAGTGGGGGAAGTGGTAATACAGACCACGAGCGATTTACACGTGTCCAATTGGTGCACAACTGCACATGTATGCATTGTGGTGACCCAGAAGTGGCCGGAAAAGGGTGCATAACCGGGTGGAAGATGATGCGTTATTTTTAACTGGGTATGTACTGCAGCTTTTATTTCTTATATTGTATGCTATTGTGTTACAATTTCAAGTACCGTATTTTTCACTCTATAGGACGCACTTTTCCCCCTCCAAAAATTAAGAGGAAACGTGTATGCATCCTATAGAGCGAATACAGGCTCCTTGGCTTCAGCGATAGCAACGCGAAGCCTCCGAAGCGCAGAGGGAGCACTCCTTCCGCGCTCCAGAGGCTTTGCATTGCTTTCGCTGAAGCCTGGACAGCGAGAGGGGTCGGTGCGCACCGACCCCTCTCGCTCTCCAGGCTTCAGGGATAGCCGCCTGAAGCCTTTGGAGCGCAACACGAGTTCCCGCTGCACTCCGAAGGCTTTGGGTTCCTTTTGCTGAAGCCAGGAGAGCAAGACTCTCCTGGCTTCAGCAGAGATGGAGAGCTGCGCAGCGCCCCTTCAGTGAAGTGGGAGGAGAAATGGAAGGGGCTCCGTTTCTCCTGTCGCTTCGTTGAAGGGGTGCTGAGCAGAAAGGGGGAGATTTTTTTTTCTTGTTCTCCCCCTCTAAAATAAGGTGCGTCCTATGGTCCGGTGCGTCCTATAGAGCGAAAAATACGGTACATAAACACCCGCAGGATTCACATTGCCATTGTTTTTCAAAAATAGGACATGGACCATGGGAATGAAGCCCGTGGAACGGTGGTGTTCTGCAGACTGCAATCTGGGAGCCCCTGGTCTAAGATAATGTCAGGGACTGGACTGAGGAGGAATAGTGGAGACCTCCTTATCGGATTACAACCAGGGTGTCCATACAGCCCCCGAGATGAGACAAACCTCTCCGGGCATCTTCCTGAGGTTGCGCAGCTCCTGTTTGTCCATAAATCATCGGGTCCCGGCCCACTCCAGTGACACATAGCAAATGCCTATGCGCTTGCACACTCAGCAGAGTTTAGCAGAAACAAAGTGGAGACTGGTGTGCTCATTCTAAGCTTTTATTAAGCACTATATACAGGACAAGGGACATGGGTGGTGCTGTGGGTTAAACCACAGAGCCTAGGACTTGCCGATCAGAAGGTTGGCGGTTCGAATCCCCGCAACGGGGTGAGCACCCGTTGCTCGGTGCCTGCTCCTGCCAACCTAGCAGTTCGAAAGCACATCAAAGTGCAAGTAGATAAATAGGTACCACTCTGGCGGGAAGGTAAACGGCGTTTCCGTGCACTGCTCTGGTTCGCCAGAAGCGGCTTAGTCATGCTGGCCACATGACCCGGAAGCTGTATGCCGGCTCCCTCGACCAATAAAGCGAGATGAGTGCCGCAACCCCAGAGTCGGCCACGACTGGACCTAACGGTCAGGGGTCCCTTTACCTTTACCTTTATATACAGGGCAATGGACACGGGTGGCGCTGTGGGTTAAACCACAGAGCCTCGGACTTGCCGATCAGAAGGTCAGCAGTTCGAATCCCCGTGATGGGGTGAGCTCCTGTTGCTCTGTCCCTGCTCCTGCCAACCTAGCAGTTTGAAAGCACGTCAAAGTGCATGTAGATAAATAGGTACCGCTCCAGCGGGAAGGTAAATTGTGTTTCCCTGCACTGCTCTGGTTTGCCAGAAGCAGCTTGGTCATGCTGGCCACATGACCCAGAAACTGTACACCAGCTCCCTTGGCCAATAAAGCGAGATGAGCACCGCAACCCCAGAGTCTGCCATGGCTGGACCTAATGGTCAGGGGTCCCTTTACCTTTACCTATATGCAGGACAAAGTGATCATGGCGTCCTCTCACTTCAGTTCCGAGAGAGAACAGAAAGGAAAAAGTACAAAAACACAACAGAGCGGAAGAGATAAGGCTAGCTTCTGTTCTCAGGTTCGCCAAGCCTAGAAAGTAAACACGGACATGTGATATAAAATAAAAGACTCCATCAGGCAAGGTCACCTTCCACCTGCCTTGCCCTACTCTCTGCTTCTCAATGTGTATTGTATTGTTTTATGTACTGTGGCTTGCCGTTGTTTTATTGATTATAGTTTAGATATTATTGTAACTCTTGAGTGGATTTCTGTTTAACTTTTATATGCTGATATTATTATTTTATGCTATTCTAATGATTGTTGAACGTTACTTTTTTGATGGAGGTTGCCTATTTTAAAGTTGTGTTTTATTATCACATTTTTGTATTGCATTAGATCGTTATAAGATGTACATTTTTTGTTTGTTCAGCTTGTAAACCCCCTTGAGGATTGTAAGATAGAAAGGCGGTATACAAATGATGATGATGATGATGATGACCGTCACACATCAGCAACGGAGAAATGAAATGATTACATTCCTCCTGAACCTCCCCGAGAAGAGGAGGACAGTATGGATTTACAACAGTGGTTTGCAGAAGGCTGCAGAGGGGAGAAGCTGAGAACAGTGGCGTAGCGTGGGGGGTGCAGGGGGGGCCGGCCGCACCGGGCGTAACATCTGGGGGTTAGGCAAATCCACGGGTTAGGGGGCGCAAATCCACGGGTTAGGGGGCGCAAATTACTTGCCTTGCCCCGGGTGCTGACAACCCACGCTACACCACTGGCTGAGAAATATTGGGAGGGAGCAGAAGGAAGAAGATGCACCAGGGAAGAGACAGCTGACAGACTCAGTGTCTTTGGAAAGCATTCCTGATGCCCTCCCTCCCAGGACCCGATGGGCATTGAGAGTAGGAGAACAGAAAGCTCAGATCAGCCGACGCTGGGATGACATAGAATAGGAGAGATGGAGGGGGTGGGACTTTACTTGGAGCAATGCCATTATCCAATAGAGGGGACGACAGAGGACGAGATGGTTGGACAGTGTTCTGGAAGCTACCAGCATGAATTTGACCCAACTGCGGGAGGCAGTGGAAGACAGGAGTGCCTGGAGTGCTCTGGTCCAGGGGGTCATGAAGAGTCTGACACGACTAAACAACTAAACAACAATAAGAAGAACTCTTCTTGTTTAACTACTTCTTGGCTGGCGCCATGGGAGGGGTGAAGCCTGACAGATAATGATTTTTATACTGTGTCTTGGGAAACCAAGGGATTCCTTACTGAGAAATGCAGTAATGGTAGGCAACCCTTTCTGAAATCCAGCTTCTTCTTGCCCGTCTTCCTTCTGCAACCCACAGGCCCCATCACCCCCATAAGGAATGGCCAGGCAGGTACCGGAGCCAAAAGGCCTGCGAGGCACAACCGGCCCTACTATTAGATTAGATAAGATAATTTATTATGGGCAAAGACCGGCTCACATAACATAACACAATAAAAACAGCGTTCATAAAATATAAAATATACAATATACAATATAAAATATACAATCGGAGCAGATTGCAGCAATAGCTCATGAGTTAAAATTGAAATATATACATACACCCATATAGCTGAGATTTGGGCTACCATAAAAAATTGACCCTGAGGCACTCCAAAGGGCAACTTCAGCTTTTCCCTAGTAAGCTATTTTATTCTAGAGGATGACCTGTGCCTACAAATCTGGGCGCAGAATCTGGCTACCAGCCAGGTCGTTTTATGATCTTTGCCTAAGAGGAGAAAATTAAGTTTAGACTTGTCTGAAAGACTGGCAAGCCTTTTCAGCAAAGGATCAATTGTGTCTCTACGAATCTCAGCATAAAAAGGACATCTAAAAAATATATCTTTGAGGCTTCCTATTTCCTCTAATGGGCAGGCGCAAAGTCTCTGCGCATACGGGACCCTTCTATAGGAGCCTTCCAGAACCGGTGAGGGCAAGGCTGAGCTTCTTGTTAAGTTGTGGGTGAACATATCAGACGACACAGCGATTCTTCAAACAGCTCTTGTTTATTCACAGGCCAGAACAGAACAGAACTGAAGGGTTCAGCCAACCTGCTTATATAGAGCTCCACTACAACGCAACTGTAACACTTTCTGTAACTATCCAATCACTGAACGTCGCTTTCAATCCTTATTTGCATATGTGGACCTGAGTGAAAACTATCTACAGTATCCCCTTGCTGGCCCAGGGTGAGAATGTCAGTACATAACACTTCTAGCAAGAGTAAAAGCCCAACTTGCATTTCTGGATGTAAGGAAATTGAGATATGCTGCTGGAGCGGTTACGTATCTCCCGATTTCTATGATTTTATAATCGGGGACCCTTGTACAGTCCTGTTGTCTCTCTATGTCCATGAGGCCCTACTATTAGGCGAAGTGAGATGATAGACTCGGGTGGCAGGTTCAGGAGGGCAGGCTCCCAGCAGTTCCTAAGCCCTGCCCCTGACCAGTCCCTTCTGTTGGAGTACAGAGATGTGTCTACCACATATCCTGGAAGATTGAGGAAGGACAAAATTACATAGTTAAATTATGGGATTTACTCACATGAGAAGTAGTGATGGCCACCAACTTTGTTGTTGTTGTTGTTTAGTCGTTTAGTCATGTCCGACTCTTTGTGACCCCATGGACAGAGCATGCCAGGCCCTCCTGTCTTCCACTGCCTCCCGCAGTTTGGTCAAACTCATTTTAATCGCTTCGAGAACACTGTCCAACCATCTCGTCCTTTGTCGTCCCCTTCTCCTTGTGCCAACATCTTTCCCAACATCAGGGTCTTTTCCAGGGAGTCTTCTCTTCTCATGAGGTGGCCAAAGTCTTGGAGCCTCAGCTTCAGGATCTGTCCTTCCAGTGAGCACTCAGGGCTGATTTCCTTCAGAATGGATCGATTTGATCATCTTGCAGTCCATGGGACTCTCAAGAGTCTCCTCCAGCACCATAATTCACCATCATCAATTCTTTGGCAATCAGCCTTCTTTATGGTCCAGCTCTCACTTCCATACATCACTACTGGGAAAACCATAGCTTTAACTATACAGACCTTTGTTGGCAAGGTGATGTCTCTGCTTTTTAAGATGCTATCTAGGTTTGTCATTGCTTTTCTCCCAAGAAGCAGGCGTCTTTTAATTTCATGGCTGCTGTCACCATCTGCAGTGATCATGGAGCCCAAGAAAGTAAAATCTCTCACTGCCTCCATTTCTTCCCCTTCTATTTGCCAGGAGGTGATGGGACCAGTGGCCATGATCTTCGTTTTTTTGATGTTGAGCTTCAGACCATATTTTGCGCTCTCCTCTTTCACCCTCATTAAAAGGTTCTTTAATTCCTCCTCACTTTCTGCCATCAAGGTTGTGTCATCTGCATATCTGAGGTTGTTGATATTTCTTCCGGCGATCTTAATTCCGGCTTGGGATTCATCCAGCCCAGCCTTTCGCATGATGAATTCTGCATATAAATTAAATAAGCAGGGAGACAATATACAGCCTTGTCGTACTCCTTTCCCAATTTTGAACCAATCAGTTGTTCCATATCCAGTTCTAACTGTAGCTTCTTGTCCCACATAGAGATTTCTCAGGAGACAGATGAGGTGATCAGGCACTCCCATTTCTTTAAGAACTTGCCATAGTTTGCTGTGGTCAACACAGTCAAAGGCTTTTGCATAGTCAATGAAGCAGAAGTAGATGTCTTTCTGGAACTCTCTAGCTTTCTCCATAATCCAGCCCATGTTTGCAATTTGGTCTCTGGTTCCTCTGCCCCTTCGAAATCCAGCTTGCACTTCTGGGAGTTCTCGGTCCACATACTGCTTAAGCCTGCCTTGTAGAATTGCCACCAACTTGGGCAGCTTCAAAAGAGGATCAGACAAATTCACAGCTATCAAGTGGGCATTATGTTATGCATTTCCCCCCACTACTCTCCCTTCATTGGGAAGGATTGCAGCTTATTGGTAGAAAACCTCTTTTGCATTCAGAAGGTCTCAGTTTCGATCCTCACATCTCTAAGTAGAGCTCTCTGTCTGATTTCCAGGAGAACTGCTTCCAGCCTGTGTAGACAATATTGAACTAGATGGACCATTGCTCTGATTCAATATAAAGCAGCTGTTTATGTTCTTCTCCTGCTTAAATGTTTGGACTCTCCATGGGGACATGGCTGTCATTGTAGCTTTATTAAACTTTACTGATTGGTGGGCTCTGCGTTGCTCCCGGATGGGAGGAAGGAAGTCAAATGACACCGAGGGTTGGTTCAGAGAAAGAGTTCTTTATTTCTGCTCTCTGGAGCAGCAGAAAGGCACTTGCGTGGTGTGTCCACAGCAAGTCCAAAGAAATGAGTAATTTCATGTAGTATATATATCCTCCAGGCACCCTCTCCCCCCTTCCCCAGGAATCCAGACACGTCAGCTTGTATAGGTTGACATCACAGATGTTCCTGCTCTGGTACTCTTAACCATAAAAGGATTTTCCTTCCTGTACTCCTGACCATAAAAGGGTATTCCTGTTCCTATACTCTATCTTGGAGCAAGAGGTCACCAACTCTAAGAACACACTCTGGCGCTGTTCCCGCACTAGGTCTGTGCGTCACAGTGTGGTCAGGATGTAAGATAAGACCCAGAGGCGTCATCCCTACTCCACTGGAACAGCCAAGGTCATCCATTGCCATGACTGATAAAGGAGAGAGCTGTTTATACAGCTGTGTTCTTGTTATGCATTTGCTCAACAGCTCAAGTTAATGCATTTTAGAAATGCTCCCTTGGAGAAAGAAGAAAAGGAGGTTTTGGGGTCCCGGTTCAAACTGACTGCACAGAAACCCATTCCTTCATCATGACGAGCCTCTGCCTTTCAAGATTTAGAACCCTGGCTCATCCCATACGTAACGTGTTTGCGTTGCATTTTTAGGTACAATTATGGGAACTTAGGCTTCTGGTTTCACTGGTCTGCCGTCTTCCTGATCCTCGCTGCCGTCGTTTTCACCTATCTCTTGTTATTACTGGTAAGCACAACTCTCTTTTGATTAAAGGCTTCCCAAGGGGATGGTTCAGGTTGGCAGCCAAGTCTCCACCAAGGTGCAGCACTGAGGCTGTAAAAGCTCTGGCAGGGGACCATATCTGTGGAGACTGGAGTCATGGGCCGTGTAGGTGGCATAATGCGCAGGTTGCTTGTAGAATGTATTGGGTTCAACACCCAACGTCCCTTGATTTGTTTTAGCAGATTTGCCCCCTGCCTTTCAACCCAAAGATATAAGGAGATATTTGATAGCAGCACAGTGGTACCTTGGGTTACCTACGCTTCAGGTTACATTCGCTTCAGGTTACAGACTCCGCTAACCCAGAAATAGTGCTTCAGGATAAGAACTTTGTTTCAGGATGAGAACAGAAATCGTGCTCTGGCGGCGCGGCAGCAGCAGGAGGCCCCATTAGCTAAAGTGGTGCTTCAGGTTAAGAACAGTTTCAAGTTAAGAACGGACCTCCGGAACGAATTAACCCGAGGTACCACTGTACTGGAACAGAAATAGGCTCTTTGAGAGACCCTCGAGAGCTGCTACTATTCCAAACAGACCTGGGGTCTCCAACATGGTGCCCATGAGCCCCAGGGCACCCTCAGACACCCTCTGCAAAGCCCACCAAGGCCTCCCATTTATCCCAATTTTTGAAGCTGTTGTGGGGAGTTTGCCTGTTTGGGGTGTGTGCGTTTCTGAGCATCCCCTGACTTTCTCCTGTGAAACAGATATTCGGTGGTATCCATGAGAGTCCTTAGATTTCCAAATGTGTCTCCGGAGCCATAAAAAGTTGGCGATCACTGGAGCGAACAGTTGTGGACTAGACGGACTCATCTTCATATACTCAGCATATCAAATGATCTTCAGATGGGCTTGATTTCCAATTTTATGTAGCTTTGTGCTTTTCTAACTGCCCTGTGATCTTCGGATGACGGGCAATGAATGAATTTAATCGAAATCCATACCCCCTCCTTTCGTAATCCTCATAGAACACTAGCCCAATGGTTGCCATTAGATTCTGAATTGATTTTAGAATGAATTGATTTTAGAATATATTTCAATTAATAGATTGTGATTTTATGTAAACTGTGTTACTTTTACTGTTAGCCACTCTGAGCCCGGCTTTGGCTGGGGAGGGCGGGATATAAATAAAATATTATTATTATTATTATTATTATTATTATTATTATTATTATTATTATTACTCCCATCATTGAAATCAACCAGGCTCCAGGGCTCTGAGTTGTGGGTACGACTAAGTACCTTCCTGCCAATGTTTCCACAGATTATAGCGGTGTGTCTGATATCAGAGAGGCAGCGGTTGTATCTGCACTGGAGTCACAAGGTAAATCATTTGACCTGCTGCCCTTCCTTGTAAAAAACGATTTCAGGCCCAAGTCTCTGTGTAGGAACCGGATCACCCTCTGAACTAGTGCCATAAGAGTAGCTGAGACTGGCAAGGGCACCAGTGGCAGAGCAACTGTGTCAAATCATGCTAGAGCTCTGCTGTTTGAGGCCAAAGTCCCACCTAATCCAGCGTCCTGTTCTTAAAGTGGTCAACCAGGTGTCTCAACGCACAGCGTACAAGCAAAACTTGAGCACAACATCATTTCCCCCACTTGGAGTGCCCAGCGACTGTGCATACTGCCTCCGATAACAGCTTGATTGGTTGATTGTATTTCTCGCTGCGAGAAGTGAGGTTACAGGGAAACAGGCAGAGGGCCTTCTCGGTGGTGGCGCCTGCCCTGTGGAACGCCCTCCCATTTGATGTCAAGGAAATAAACAACTATTTTACTTTTAAAAGACAACTGCTTAGGGAAGTTTTTAATGTCTGACGCTGTATTGTTTTCAATATTTCTTTATCCCCCCCCCTAAAAACTAAGTGCGCCCTATAGAGAGAAAAATGCGGTATTTTCTAAAGACTGGAGTAAATTTGTAAAATATTTAAAAGACCACTGTAACAGTTACAATCTTTGGCAGGGATGTAATGACACTTGTAATGTGGAATTATTTATGATGATTATGGTTATTAAACAGATGGTTAAGGGTAAAAGATGCAGCAATCTCATATTTAAATAATGGAACCCATGGAGGGAGGGGAAGAGGTCTGATGGTTCAAAGGAACCTTGTACTTTAATGTTTGAAATGGATATGTTAAAATATATAAAATTATGAAAAGCCAATAAAAAAAATATTTTTTTAAAAAAGAAAGTGAGTGAGGTCCTAGCCAAAGAGGCTTGGCAACTTAAGTGGACAGAATATGCACAGCTAGGAGACTTAACATATAGAACAAGACAACAAGAAGAAAATACATGCAGAGAAGATTAGGAAACGTTTATTGAATATATGGGAAATAATTGTGTACAGCTGAAAACGCTGGCAGCATTAAGATAAATTCAACAGTGTAAATAAGTTTTGATGGATGCAATAAAGGAATACTGAATGGTATAGTTTTTGTAAAATATGCAGGGATTTTTGATATGTAAAATGAGCCATAGGAAGAAAAGAAGTCACTGATATCTTAAGGATGTAAAAATGAGTACTTTAAACTGTAAAACAGAACATTCAATAGAAATTATATATTTTTAATATATTTTATATTATATTTTTATATTATATATTTATATTTTAATATATTTTTTTAAACGGGGGGAGAAATTGCTTTTAATGCTTGATTCCCTTAGATCGCGACGGTGTTGGCCCTGGGCTTCTCCTGCTTTGCCTTTGCCATGGTAACGCTTCTCTGGACCGCGCAGTGGAGCATCTTCTACCTGTCCTTTCAGGTGAGGAAACCGCTAGGCTTTATCTGAATGCTGCTTTATCTTCATGCTGCCAGCGTTTTCAGCTGTACACAATTCTTCCCCATATATTCAATAAACCTATCCCATTCTTCTCTAAACGTATGTTCTCCTTGTTCTCTTATTCTATATGTTAAGTCTGTGACTTGCGTATAGTCTGTCGGCTTAAGTTGCCATTCTTCTTTAGCTGGGACCTCGCTAGTTTTCCATTTGTGTGTGTGGTTTCCCCCCCTTCCAAATAATATTTATTATTTTCAGTAGATAAACATAGTAAAGAAAGAAAAGATTAACAATAATAAAAACAAACAAAAAATAAAAAAGAGAAGAAAGAAAAAAGATACATACAACATATTAGCACTTAATTAATTAAAATTAAGTACCATCCATCTTCATAAACATAGTATTTGACTTCCTCGAATTTCTTCCATCTGAATTTCTTAGTAATTATATGTAGCAGTTTCCAATATCAGTGTTTCAAAATATCGCAGTCCTAATCATATTACATAACTTTCCTTATTATACATTTTCTTATTTATAAATGTAATTCCATTTTAATCCTGGGCCTAATTGTTTCTTTCAAGTGGTTACATATCTTTAATATTACAATATTTATTCAAATAGTCTTTAAATTTCTTCCAGTCTTGATGTTCCTCTTCTTTCTGGTCGCAGATTCTCCCAGGGAGATCAGCCAGCTCCATAAACTCCATCATCTTCTCTGTGTGTGTGTTTTTAAAGAGCAATGTGTCAATTGGCCCCAAGCGTCTCATGGGGACACTTTGTCTTCCCAACAGGTCACAGCTCCCTTCCTCCACATGGTTGCCGTATTCATCATGGTCCTCTTGGCGTGGCCAGTGGCTCTTCATTTCTTCTGGACAGACAACAAAGGTACAATGAGCAAAAAATACGGTATATACAACTCCAACCTAAGATGGAAAGGCTCACAGCATTGACTCCCCAAAAGGAATGGCTTCTCCCATACTCATGATGGACTCAAGGGCATCCTGATCAAATTTTGCAGATGACACCAAACTTGGGAGGGTGGCTAACCCCAGAGGACAGGATCACACTTCAAAACGACCTTGACAGATTAGAGAACTGGGCCAAAACAAACAAGATGAACTTTAACAGGGAGAAATGTAAAGTATTGCACTTGGGCAAAAAAATGAGAGGCACAAATACAAGATGGGGGACACCTGGCTTGAGAGCAGTACATGTGAAAAGGATCTAGGAGTCTTGGTTGACCACAAACTTGACATGAAGCCAACAGTGTGAACGCGGCAGCTAAAAAAGCAATGCAATTCTGGGCCTCATCAATAGGAGTATAGCATCTAGATCAAGGGAAAGTAATAGTGCCACTGTATTCATAGCCTAGGAATTGAGCAGAAATCAAATAATAATAATAAATAATAATAATAATAATAATAATAAATTTATACTAAGGTTACCAGATTTTTTCAATATATTGGGGGACACTGTTCAACTTCAATGGGTTTTGTATGGGGACTGATTTGTAAATCCGGGGACTGTCCCCGGGAAACGGGGACGTCTGGTAACCTTAATTTATACCCCACCCACCTGGGCAGCTCCCAACAGAATATTAAAAACACGATAAAACAATAAAAACTTCCCTAAACAGGGTTGCCTTTAGATGTCTTCTAAATGTCAGATTGTTGTTTATTTCCTTGACTTCTCGCAGTGAGGGAACCGCCAGAAGGCCCTCAGTACTGGACCTCAGTGTCCGGGCAGAATCATGGGGGTGGAGATGCTCCTTCAGGTATACTGGACCGAGGCTGTTTGGGGCTTTCAAGGTCAGCACCAACACTTTGAATTGTGCTCAGAAACGTACTGGGAGACAATGTTCCGTAGGTCTTTCAGGACTGGTGTTATATGGTGTTGGTGGCCACTCCCAGTCAAGCATGGCTCTCACTCCCTGGCTTCTGCCTTCAGCCTGTTTTCTGCTCTCAGCTCACACACAACTGCTTGGACGACTGTCCTTCTAGATACCAGCCGGGTGAGGAGTGGGAAAGGTCCACTCATTTGCCCAGAAGGGCCCTATCACTTCTTTTGTTACGCAAATGATGGCCATTCTCTCGCAAAGAAACATGTCTGACTAGTAGAACGATGGAATCCTCCATTAGATTTTAACGCTTGCTTGATTCCGGACCTCAGGGACTCAGGCATCATGCAGACTAGCCCCACAAAGTCGCCCCCACAGTGCTGAGGGACCACCCTCTAGAGCAGGGGGGTCCGACTTTTCATAGCAAGTGGGCCGCAAGAATATATCGACATGGGACCCGTTGGAAAGGTATCAAGTTTTACACCGTTTGTTTTGAGAGAGAATCCACTAACAACCTGTATTTCTAGTTACAGGTAGGTAGCCGTGTTGGTCTGCCGTAGTCAAAACAAAATAAAATAATAATAATAAAAATTCCTTCCAGTAGCACCTTAGAGACCAACTAAGTTTGTTATTGGTATGAGCTTTCGTGTGTGCTACTGCTCATTCCAATAACAAACTTAGTTGGTCTCGGTCCGTATAGTTAATTGCAGTCATTAACAGTCGTCCCATCACCACCTGGCAAATAGAAGGGGAAGAAATGGAGGCAGCGAGAGATTTTACCTTCCTGGGCTCCATGATCACTGCAGATGGTGACAGCAGTCACAAAATTAAAAGATGCCTGCTTCTTGGGAGCAAAGCAATGACAAACCTAGACAGCATCTTAAAAAGTAGAGACATCGCCTTGCTGACAAAGGTTCGTCTAGTTCAAGCTATGGTTTTCCCAGTAGTGATGTATGGAAGTGAGAGCTGGACCATAAAGAAGACTGATCGCCGAAGAATGGATGCTTTTGAATTCTGGTGCTGGAGGAGACTCTTGAGAGTCCCATGGACTGCAAGAAGATCAAATCGATCCACTCCAAAGGAAATCAGCCCTAAGTGCTCACTGGAAGGACAGATCCTGAGGCTCCAAGACTTTGGCCACCTCATGAGAAGAGAAGACTCTCTGGAAAAGACCCTGATGTTGGGAAAGATGGAGGGCACAAGGAGAAGGGGATGACAGAGGATGAGATGGTTGGATAGTGTTCTCAAAGCTACCAGCATGAGTTTGACCAAACTGCGGGAGGCAGTGGAAGACAGGAGTACCTGGCAAGCTCTGGTCCATGGGTTCACGACAAGTCGGACACGACTAAACAACAACAAAGTGCTATTGGAAGGAACTTGTTTTTCTTTTTGTTTCAACCTATATTTCGGGAGAAAATGGTTTAGAAATGTGGGGTTTTGTGCTGGTTTATTTTTATTTAATTGCATATTAGGGCAAAGAAAGCAAGGAAGGAAGGAAGGAAAATGGGCTTGTGGGTGAGAAACATGACATGGTCAGCAAATACCGTATTTTTCGCTCTATAGGACGCACTTTTCCCCCTCCAAAAATTAAGGGGAAATGTGTGTGCGTCCTATGGAGCGAATGCAGGCTCCTTTACTTCAGCGATAGCAACACGAAGCCTCTGAAGCGCAGAGGGAGCGCTCCCTCCGCGCTCCAGAGGCTTTGCGTTGTTTTCGCTGAAGCCTGGAGAGCGAGAGGGGTCGGTGCACACCTCTCGCTCTCCAGGCTTCAGGGATAGCCGCCTGAAGCCTTTGGAGCGCAGCGGGAACTCGCGCTGCGCTCCGAAGGCTTCGGGTTCCTTTTGCTGAAGCCGGGAGAGCAAGACTCTCCTGGCTTCAGCAGAGAGGGAGAGCTGTGCAGTGCCCCTTCAGCCAAGCAGGAGGAGAAATGGAAGGGGCTCAGTTTCTCCTGCCGCTTCGCTGAAGGGGCGCTGAGCAGAGAGGGGGAGAATTTTCCCCCCTTGTTCTCCCCCTCTAAAACAAGGTGCGTCCTATGGTCGGGTGCGTCCTACAGAGCGAAAAATACGGTACTTATTCATTCCTACTTGGACTTGTCCCCCTTCCCATTCAGCCTAGCAAAGACCATGACTATTCTTGTTTCGTTCAGTTCTGCAGGTATTGATTATTTCCCCCTACTTGGCCATCCTCCTCTGCCTTCTCTTCATACCCCTGGGGTTCCATTCTCCCTGTATTATGGAGAAGGGGGCGTTGGGTCCCAAGCCGCACCTGATTGGCCACAGAGGAGCACCAATGGTAGGTTGAGTTGGAAGGCGGGGGGCGGGACTTCAGAATAACCTGACGCCATTACGCTTCATCCTCTTTCGGATAGTTGGTTTGTTTTTAACCTTTAAAGAAATTCAAACCATTTTTTCCCCTGATGAAGAGCTCCTTTGCCACAATTTAATAATAATAATAATAATAATAATAATAATAATAATAATAATAATTTATTTATACCCTGCCCATCTGGCTGGGTTTCCCCAGCTACTCTAGGGCGGCTTCCAACAAAACACTAAAATACAATAACCTATTAAACATTAAAAGCTTCCCTAAACGGGGCTGCCTTCAGATGTCTTCTAAAAGTTTGGTAGCTATTTTTCTCTTTGACATCTCGTGGGAGGGCGTTCCACAGGGCGGATGCCACTACCAAGAAGGCCCTCTGCCTGGTTCCCTGTAACCTGGCTTCTTGCAGCGAGGGAACCGGCAGAAGGCCCTCAGAGCTGGACCTCAGTGTCCAGGCAGAACGATGGAGGTGGAGACGCTCCTTCAGGTATACTGGACGTATTTGTTGGTCATACTCAACTAGGGACTTCGGACAACAGTCAACATGTGCGCCGTTACACAATACACAAGACCGAATATTTGTACAGTGCCTGGGTGGGGGAACTTTTTCAGCTCGAGGGCCACACTTAATTCAGGTTAGCTTTCCAGGGGCCACATGCCGCGAGTGGACAAGGCCAGAGGCAGAAAGAAGAAGTGAATTTTACAAGTGTGCAGTTGTCTTGTTTCTCCACGCAGTCCCATAGCTCTATCCAGGCCAGTCAGAAGCATTCTCAGAATTCATTTTTAAGAAAGAATGGGAAAGATTTATAATTTATTTAAGAAACCACCGTAAGCAAACGGAAACATTAGCAGGATTTTAACAACTAAACGGCCTCAGTCCAGTATATCTGAAGGAGCGTCTCCACCCCAATCGTTCTACCCGGACACTGAGGTCCAGCTCTGAGGACCTTCTGGCGGTTCCCTCCCTGTGAGAAGCCAAGTTACAGGGAACCAGGCAGAGGGCCTTCTCGGTAGTGGAGCCCTCCCTGGGGAACGCCCTCCCACCAGATGTCAAAAAGAACAACTACCAGACTTTTAGAAGACATCTGAAGGCAGCCCTGTTTAGAAAAGCTTTTAATGTTTGATGTATTACAGTATTTTAATATTTTTTTGGAAGCCGCCCAGAGTGGCTGGGGAAACCCAGCCAGATGGGCGGGGTATAAATAATAAATTATTGTTATTGTTATTGTTATTGTTATTGTTATTGTTATTGTTAAACAAATACGTTGGATAATATGGAGAGATATTAAAATATTGATGGTGAAATAATATGCAGTTTGAAAAAGATGACAATAGGACCCATGGGGTGAATGGAGGGAAGTCTAGAGGTTCAGAGGAGTCTCTAAATCTGAGTATGTATTTGATACTGTTCAAATGTTACACTTGTAAAATCAAATAAAAATTATTTACCAATAATAATAAAAAGCATTCTCAGAGTTCCTTTCCAGGAAATGCTCAAGGAGGTTGCAAAACAGGAATTGGGGCTATTTGCCCATCCGTCATGTCTTCCTCTCTCATTTTTATAATAGGTAGCTCCCGAAAATACAGAGATGTCGTTCAGAAAAACTGCCGCTTACGGTGCTATCGGCTTTGAGACGGATGTCAAAATTAGGTGAGCTTCTGGAACACAGCTTCCCAGATGGGGTCAATCTTTTTTTCCCATACGTGCTCGGCTGTCTTAAGGGATCGTTACTGCCTGCTGTGTTTAAACCATCCCTTTTAACTCACAGACTGTCGCTGGCATCTTGGTGCTGCTTTAAGAACCTGCTGGATCAGGCCAGGGGCCATTTACGTAGAAGCTAAACAAGCTATAGCTTAGGGCCCCACTCTCTTGGGGGCCCCCAAAAAAATTAAAGGGGAAAAAACGGGCTGTACATTTCCAAAATATAAGATAAAAAACCAAATAAATTAAAGCTACATACAGCAACAGTGTAGGCTCCTTTGATGTAAGTCATGGGCCCCGCCCGCTAGCCTGCTCCCTCAAATATCAATGGTTTCAGGCCGGCGGTTCAAATCCCCGCGACGGGGTAAGCTCCCGTTGCTCTGTCCCAGCTCCTGCCTGCCTAGCAGTTCGAAAGCACACCGGTGCAAGTAGATAAACAGGTACCGCTCCGGCAGGAAGGTAAATGGCGTTTCCGTGCGCTCTGGTTTCCGTCACGGTGTCCTGTTGCACCAGAAGTGGTTTAGTCCTGCTGGCCACATGACCCGGAAAGCTGTCTGTGGACAAACGCCGGCTCCCTCGGCCTGAAAGCGAGATGAGCATTGCAACCCCATAGTTGCCCTTGACTGGACTTAACTGTCCAGGGGTCCTTTACCTATCTTACCTTTACCTCTCACAGGGCGTGTGACAAGTCCATAAGCAGGGCATGAGCTCAACAGGACTCTGCCCGACTGCGCTTCTCAGAGACTGGTATTCAGAGGTATAATTCCTGTGACAGTGGAGGCAGAACATAGCCATGGTTGTTAGTGTTGTTGTTGTTTAGTTGTGTCCGACTCTTTATGCCCATGGACCAGAGCACGCCAGGCACTCCTGTCTTCCACTGCGTTCCTTGGTCAAACTCATGCTGGTAGCTTCGAGAACACTGTCCCACCATCTCGTCCTCTGTCGTCCCCTTCTCCTTGTGCCCTCCATCTTTCCCAACATCGGGGTCTTTTCCAGGGAGTCTTCTCTTCTCATGAGGTGGCCAAAGTATTGGAGTCTCAGCTTCAAGATCTGTCCTTCCAGTGAGCACTCAGGGCTGATTTCCTGAAGAATGGATAGGTTTGATCTTCTTGCAGTCCATGAGACTCTCAAGAGTCTCCTCCAGCACCATAATTCAAAAGCATCAATTCTTCGGCGATCAGCTTTCTTTAGGGTCCAGCTCTCACTTCCATACATCACTACTGGGAAAACCATAGCTTTTACTATATGGGCCTTTGTTGGCAAGGTGATGTCTCTGCTTTTTAGGATGCTGTCTAGGTTTGTCATTGCTTGGTTGTTAGTAGCCGTCCAAATAATTCACTGAATGACTTCCACCAGAGCAATAGACCTTTCCTCTCACCTGCTGTCTCTCATATCATTCCTCAAATCAGATCTCCTCTGAAAGGTAACAGGTGGCCAGGGTGGGGTGGGGTAGTGACCCAGACGACCCAGAGCAGATTTGGTGGTGTGGAGTATGTAAAATGACACATGAAATACATGCCACACATTTAAAGCACCTGGCTTCCTGCAAAGTATTCTGGGAACTATTGTCTGTTACAGGTTCTGGGGATTTTGAGCGGTAAAGTACAGACCCCACAATCCTTTGTGGGAAGGCGATTGCTTTAAATGTATGTTGTGCATGCAGCCAAAGTAAATAATCTTTTTTCTGGTGTGTGTGTATGTAGCTCCACTACGGTTTCCCACTCTCCCCTGAGAACTGGAGCTGGGGAGAATATGTGACACAGCTCAGCTGTTCTCAGGCAGCCTCGCGAATGTCCTACCTAAGACCCCAAGCGTGACGCGCAAAATTGCTTTTCTGTTTTGAACAGCTTGGACGGCGTCCCCTTCCTCATGCACGACAAGACGCTAGAAAGGACCACCAACATTGAGGCTGTCAATCGCACGTGGGCAAAGGCACTTGCTGACTACTTCCCCTGGAGCGAACTGGAGAAGCTGAACTCTGGAAATTGGTTCTTTGAGGTATGTTTGAATGGGACTTGAAATGGAACTCAGCCCATCACATCTCCCAAGTTGGCTTCTGGGGAGCTGAGTAGCGGAATAGCCTTCCAAGAGCAGGTTTGCCCATGTTTCCAACTACGGCTTGGGCCTCTGCGTGGTCTGCCTCACCCAAACTACTACTGTCCGCCTTAGAGCTCACCCAAATGACCCTGCATTCGCCATACACCTTACCCAAGTTGCCCCCCATATTCACTCTTCTCCCCAGCCCCCCTCACTCAACAAACCCCCATTCCCCTTGGACTTTACCAACCCTCTTGTATGCCTCTCCAACCCATTCCTCTTACAGCTCACCCAAACTCCCTCTCTCTGCTCTGAGGTCACCCAGACTTACAACTCACCCAGACAACTCCACCCCATAGACCTCCTTAGGCCACAACAGTTTCCATTTTGGGGGCCCTGAAGTTTGAACTGTTATGGGTGTCTCTTCTTAAACAGCATTGAGGTCTGGGTAACCAGTGATTTTACTATTATTATTATTATTATTATTATTATTACAGTGGACGCTCGGGTTGCGACCGTGATCCATGCGGGAAGCACGTTTGCAAGCCGCAGCACTGTGTCTGCGCACTCGTGGGTTGCGATTCAGCGCTTCTGTGCATGCGCAAAGCAGATTGGCAGGGTATTCTTATCCTTAATAAATAAAATGGTCATGGCTCCCCTCACAAAGGAATTCTGGGAACTGTAGTTTACCTCTCACAGAGCTACAATTCCCAGCACCTTCGACAAGCTACAGCTCCTTTCCCCCCTAATTCCTTTGCAGAAGAGGCCGTTTTTCGAAATGCCCCCGCTCTCGCCTGAGGATGAAAAACTGGCAAGAAAGCAGAGAGTCTACAAGCTCAGCGATCTCTTGAAACTTGCTTATCAGGAGGACAAACTGGTCCTCTTCGATCTTCAGTACCCTCCAGCGCATCACCCTTACAGGGACACCTGGATCGACAGAACCGTGGAGGTCATCAAAAACGAAATGGGGAACAAATCTCACTTGGTACGAGACGTCCCCTCCTCCGAAACCCCACCCCTCTTTATCCAACTTGAATTTGCCCCCGAGTATGTTGCATGTGGGCCAGATCCTGACCCACGAGATATCAAATCACCTGGTTGAATATGTTTGATAGCAAGCCCAGTTGAAAACACTCAAAATGTTGCAGCGTGAAGTGCTCACTGTTCCGGCCAGCCAAACCCTTTGCTAGAATACTCCATTTGATTTCCCTTCCCAACCAGTTTTCCATTCCTCCCTCTCCATCCCTCCTCATTCTACATTGGGCTGCCATACTTCTGCAAACGTTGCCCGCTGGGTCCTGACCTCCTTCTTCTTGTGTGTTGAGGGTGCCGCCGTGGCTCCAGAAGCACCTCCCTTTGCATCTGCACCTGGAAGACGGAAGGAATAATTTCTGTTCATCTTCTGCCAATTGCAGGTCTTATGGCTGGAACCAAATCATAGATCCATTGTCGAGAGCTTAGCTCCTGAATTCCAGCAGACCTCGGGCGTGGCTTACCCAGTCGAGGTCCTCCAGTTGTCTCGCATTTCCAGGCTCAACTTGGACTACAGAGATTTGCGCTGGGTAGATATTCGGTAGGTTGGATGGTGGCTAACAGATTGAGGTTGAATCCTGACAAGACAGAAGTACTGTTTTGGGGGACAGGAGGCGGGCAGGTGTGGAGGATTCCCTGGTCCTGAATGGGGTAACTGTGCCCCTGAAGGACCAGGTGTGCAGCCTGGGAGTCATTTTGGATTCACACCTGTCCATGGAGGCACAGGTCAGTTCTGTGTCCAGGGCAGCTGTTTATCAGCTCCACCTGGTACTGAGACCCTACCTGTCGCAGACTGTCTCGCCAGAGTGGTGCATGCTCTGGTTATCTCCCGCTTGGACTACTGCAATGCGCTCTACGTGGGGCTACCTTTGAAGGTGACCTGGAAACTACAACTAATCCAGAATGCGGCAGCAAGACGGGTGACTGGGAGCGGCCGCAGAGACCAACATAACACCGGTCTTGAAAGACCTACATTGGCTCCCAGTACATTTCCGAGCACAATTCAAAGTGTTGGTGCTGACCTTTAAAGCCCTAAACTGCCTTGGTCCAGTATATCTGAAGGAGCATCTCCACCCCCATTGTTCTACCCGGACACTGAGGTCCAGCACCGAGGGCCTTCTGGCGGTTCCCTCACTGCGAGAAGCCAAGTTACAGGGAACCAGGCAGAGGGCCTTCTTGGTAGTGGCGCCTTCCCTGTGGAACGCCCTCCCACCAGATGTCAAAGAGAACAACAACTACCAGACTTTTAGAAGACATCTGAAGGCAGCCCTGTTTAGGGAAGCTTTTAATGTTTGATGTATTACAGTATTTTAATATTTTTTTGGAAGCCGCCCAGAGTGGCTGGGGAAGCCCAGCCATATGGGCAGGGTATAAATAATAATAAATTATTATTATTATTATTATTATTATTGGATTGACTCTGCCACCCACCCTCAGAGAATAGATCGGAAAACCGAGTCTTGATTTCCGCAGTGAATGTTTCGGGCAAATTTCAGCGAGACGTTTATGAACCGGCAGATCAGTGGTTCCCAAAGGGGGGGGGCGGTACTGCCCCCTGGGAGGTGGTGGGATTGCCTAGTGGGGGTGCTAAGGGGCAAGGGGGCAGCAGGAGGGTGCTGGAAGTGGCGATTTAAGACCCCCGCTGAGTGACTTCAACCCACATATTGGGAAACTGGTATCCCTCCATCAAGTCCACTCATCACATTAAGAGTTGTTTCTAAGTGCCTAAAATGGGGAGCCTGAGTCAAAATACCTCCAGGGCAAATGTCTGTTCTTGAAGCTGAGCTATGGAACTCCTTGCCACAAGGCCGATGCTGCTGCAGAGAATTTAGCAATACTGAAAGACGGCTTAGGTAGCACTGGGGAATGATGTTGGCCCTTGCCAGCTGATTAATAATAATAATAATAATAATAATAATACTAATTTTTATTTATACCCCGCCCTCCCCAGCCAAGACCGGGCTCAGGGTGGCTAACAACCAATAATAAAAACAAGTTGATTGAAATACAACTTAAAAAACAAGATTAAAATACAACATTAAAACAATTAAAACATTAAAATGAAGCCTCATCACAGGAGGAGTAAGGAAAAAAGAAAGGGGGGGGGAGGGAATCAAATTGATTCTAAGCCAGAACAACTCTGTCTTACAGGCCCTGTGGAAAGAAATCAGATCCCGCAGGGCCCTGGTCTTATGAGACAGAGCGTTCCACCAGGCCAGGGCCAGCGTTGAAAAGGCCCTGATCCTGGTTGAGGCTAATCTGACTTCCTTAGGGCCCGGGACCTCTAGGGCGTTGCTATTTATGGACCTTAAGGTCCTCCATGGGGCATACAAGGAGAGGCGGTCCCGTGGGTACGAGCATCCTAGGCCGTGAAGGGCTTTAAAGGTCAAAACCATCACCTTAAATCTGACCCTATACTCCACCGGGAGCCAGTGCAACTGGTTAAGCACTGGGTGAATATGCTCCCATGGCAGGGACCCCGTGAGGAGCCTTGCTGCAGCATTCTGCACCCGCTGGAGTTTCTGGGACACCTTCAAGGGCAGCCCCGCGTAGAGCGAATTACAGTAGTCAAGCCTGGAGGTGACCGTCGCATGGATCACTGTGGCCAGGTCGGGGCGGGAAAGGCAAGGGATCAACTGCTTGATGCGCCAAAGGTGGAAAAATGTCACCTTAGCTGTTGCTGTAACCTGCAACAATTATGCCCAACTCGGCCTCTGCCCACCACCGGGTTTGCCCCGGCGTCACCATTTTGTGACTGGCGGGCTCCGTAATTTGCAGCCACTGAAAGCAGGGCCTCAAGAACCCCCCTGGTCTAAGAGGAACCCCTGTGCTTACTTGGCAGGGAATACGCGAAAGCCAACATCTCAACCAACCTCTGGGTGGTCAGCGAGCCATGGCTGTTCTCCTTGGCGTGGTGTTCTGGGGCCGATTCCGTCACCACCAATGCTGTCCACACCCTGGGGAACCTCCAGCGGCCTCTATTCCTCTTGGTAAGTGGAGACAGCATCTCCCAGTCAGTGAAAATGATCAAAGGCCTGGAAACGATGCCTTATGAGGAACGGCTAAGGGAGCTGGGCATGTTTAGCCTGGAGAAGAGGAGGTTAAGGGGTGATATGATAGCCATGTTCAAATATATAAAAGGATGTCACATAGAGGAGGGAGAAAGGTTGTTTTCTGCTGCTCCAGAGAAGCGGACACGGAGCAATGGATCCAAACTACAAGAAAGAAGATTCCACCTAAACATTAGGAAGAACTTCCTGACAGTAAGAGCTGTTCGACAGTGGAATTTGCTGCCAAGGAGTGTGGTGGAGTCTCCTTCTTTGGAGGTCTTTAAGCAGAGGCTTGAGTGCTCTGATGGTGTTTCCTGCTTGGCAGGGGGTTGGACTCGATGGCCCTTGTGGTCTCTTCCAACTCTATGATTCTATGATTCTATGAAAGGGAACCACGACTACTTGTCGTGGTTGATAGCCACTGAGACACCAGCACGCCACAAAATTTGGACTACCCTTGCAGTGGTACCTTGGTATTCAAACGCCTTGATTCTCAAACACCCAGAGGTAAGTGTTCCAGATTTTGAACATTTGTCGGAAGCCGAACGTCCAATGCGGCTGTCGGCTATTGTTTCCGGGGCCTGTGCACCAATCAAAAGCTGCGCCTCAGTTTTTGAACATTTCAGACGTCAAACAGACTTCCGGAACGGATTAAGTTTGGCACTCCCCCCCCCTATTTATTTTGCGTTTTTGTTTTTGAGGCTTTTTCGGTTCATTTGTTTTTGTGACTTTGTGGAACCCAGTTCAGCTACTGATTGATTGATTGATTGATTGTGTAACTGCGGAAATGGATAAAAGCCCCCATCCAAACAATGACTATCATCAGTGCAGGTAAGAAAAAAAATTAACTGTATTTTTTATCATCTACAATACTGTCTTATTTATTTTATAGTACAGAACATTGGTTATTGCTTTCATCAATGGTCTCATTAGGTAGTAAAATTCATGTTAAGTCGCTGTTTCAGGGGTTGTTTTTCAAAGTCTGGAACAGATTAATTCATTTTGCATTGCTTTCTATGGGAAAGCGCGCCTTGGTTTTGGAATGGACTTCCGGAACGGATTAAGTTTGAGAACCAAGGTGCCACTGTACTTAAAAAACGTGTTCACTTATGGCAGACTATCATTTATAAGAGAGTTGGTTTGAGTGAGGTTTCACTGCCCATCTCCAGAACTTCCAAGCGCCCTTATTTTCCAGGGACAGGCCCGGATTTCTGATTTGATCCCAGAATGCCCCACTTTTCCTTAGGACGTCCCCATTTTCACCGGAGAAATGTTGGTGGGTACGGATAGGACGTCCCTATTTTCATCGAACTGTTGCCCTGTCAGATGGCCTGGGTCCTTCTTTCTCGTCGTTCTTTTCAGAGTCCCCCCCCCTGCAGTTTCACCTTGAGGAGTGACTCCAGTTTGTCCCCTGTTCTGTTACAGACACCCGGCGAGTATCGGAGTATGTGGATAGCGACAGACGTCTTGGCGGTCCTCTTCATCCTTCTCATATTCGCTTTTCACTGGTAAATACTTCCCCCCTCTCCATTCACCCCCAGGGTGACAACAAGAGCAAGTCCTTCTCAAGGCCTCCAACCTTAGCTGGAGCTTCTAGAGCAGCAGTTCTCAACCTGTGGGTCCCCGGATGTTGTTGGACTACAACTCCCATCTTCCCTGACCACTGGCCATGCTGGCTAGGAATTATGGGAGTTGTAGTCCGACAACATCTGGGGACCCACAGGTTGAGAACCGCTGCTCTTGAGGTTGGATGCCCATCAGTCCCAGATGCTATAGTTGAGATTCCGGCATTGCAGGGGCTTGGACTAGATGACCCTCAGAGGTCCCTTCCAACTCTACAATTGCAATGATTCCGCAATTCCTCCCGAGACATCTTTTGCTTGCATCCAGCCAGGTCCTGTGTCATCAATGGGTTGGGGCTAGGGTTTCAACTCACTTCTGAGTCTGGTGGCATCCCAGTAGCCCCCCCCCCACGTTGCTATGGGGTTTGGGGAGGGGCAGGTTCTGCGGTCTCCTGGCTGGCACAGTGCTGTCTTAAGAATATGCGGTGCTGGGGTACAAAGATCCGCCTGGCACCCCCTCCCCCAAGTTGCCCAGTCCCAGGAGCATGGGAGGGAGGAGCCGGCCTGTGGCCTCAGCGTCTCGCTGGCTCGGTCGCTCCCGAATTCACGGCACAGAGCTGCCTGCTTCTACCGGTCCACAATAGAAAGTGTCCTTTCATACTGCATCACGGTGTGGTACGCTGGTTTGACATCAGCTGATGGGAAGTGCCTACAGAGGGTGGTGATTAGAGCAAAAGATATTATGGGCTGTCCCGTGAATCCGCTGGATGAAATAGCGGAAGAACGTTGCCTCAGGAGAGTGAGGAAACTTCTCAGGGATGATTCACACCCTGGCCGGCACTTTCTTGATCTCCTGCCCTCAGGCAGAAGATATAGAAGCACGATTAGTCGCACCAACAGGGTAAAGAACAGCTTCTATCCGTGGGCTGTTAGGCTGCTGAATGAAAAGATAGCAACAGGGCAACTGACTTTCGGGTTTGGTGGGTGTGCGTCAGTAAACGAGGGGAATTAAGACTAAGAGAGCGGAGTGGGGGGGGGGTGCGCTCGTATAATCTCACGGTATACAAGTTGTACAAGTGACAATAAAGTATTTCAAAAAAAGAGCCAGCACTCTGACTGATGGAGGGGCTCCTCCCCGGGCTCAACTCTTGGGCGCCGGACTCTCAGCCTGGAGCCCCTGAGAGCCCAGCGCCCGGGTGCCCTGCACCCCTAGGGCCTATGGCTAAGACGGCTCTGCCCCTAAGGGCCATAGCCAGTGGAGTAATTCCACAGTATCATCTCCCTGAGAGCTGGACTGGGGGGAGAAACCTCTTTGCTGGGTCTCTTGCCCCTTCTGGGAGCGGCCACCGAGACTACATAACACCAGTCCTGAAAGACCTACATTGGCTCCCAGTACGTTTCCAAGCACAATTCAAAGTGTTGGTGCTGAACTTGAAAGCCCTAAACGGCCTCAAAGGCCCAGTATACCGAAGGAGCGTCTCCACCCCCATCGTTCAGCCCGGACACTGAGGTCCAGCTCCGGGGGCCTTCTGGCGGTTCCCTCGCTATGAGAACCCAAGTTACAGGGAACCAGGCAGAGGGCCTTCTCGGTAGTGTCGCCCTCCCTGTGGAACGCCCTCCAACCAGATGTCAAAGAGAAAAACAGCTACCTAACTTTTAGAAGACATTTGAAGGCAGTCCTGTTTAGGGAAGTTTTTAATGTTTGATGTTTTATTGTGTTTTTAATATTCTCTTGGGAGCCACCCAGAGAGGCCGGGGAAACCCAGACAGATGGGCAGGGTATAGATATATTATTATTATTATTATTATTATTATTATTATTATTATTATTATTATTATTATTATTATTATTTATTATTATTATTATTATTATATTATTATTATTATTATTATTAAGCTAGTTGCCAGGGAATTCGACTAGATTACTCTTTGAGACCTTTCCAATTTTACAATTCAGTGATTCCAAGTTTCTCCCAATTGACTCCAACCCTGCTGGCATGCGAACCTGTGTATGCAATTAAAGGAAATTATTTTTAGAGAGTACAGCTCACACATTCCCCTCCCCCACCAGTAATCCTTACAATGGCCCCATAAGATAGGCCAGTATTTGCACACCCACCAACCCATTGCAAACAGAGACCTGGAGGTGTGTGTTGGTGTGTGTGTGTGTGAGTTTCATGGATTGTGAATAATAGCGTATTCTTTCCCCCTGCCCAGGTGGAGAGAGGTGGGCCACACCTCCTACGAAGCTCAAAGCAACGGGACCTTTGATAATGGTCCATGCAGCACACCTGAGACAGGTGAGCCTTGCCCTCTCTGGGGTTGTGCCCTCAGCAAACAGGAAGCTACCTTCTGGCAGGCAAGAGTATTTGTTCATCCAGCACCGACCCGCCGCAGCTCTTAAGGAGAGCTTCCCCACCTTCACCTGACACCTGATCCTTTAACTTAGGGGTGCTGACCTTTAAAGCCCTAAACGGCCTCAGTCCAGTATACCTGAAGGAGCGTCTCCACCTCCATCGTTCTGCCCGGACACTGAGGTCCACCTCTGAGGGCCTTTTGGCGGTTCCCTCGCTACGAGAAGCCAAGTTACAGGGAACCAGGCAGAGGGCCTTCTCGGTAGTGGCGCCCGCCCTGTGGAACGCCCTCCCACCAGATGTCAAAGAGAAAACTAACTACCAACTACCAAACTTTTAGAAGATATCTGAAGCAGCCCTGTTCAGGGAAGCTTTTAATGTTTAATAGGTTATTGTATTTTAGTGTTTTGTTGGAAGCTGCCCAGAGTGGCTGGGGAAACCCAGCCAGATGCGCAGGGTATAAATAATAAATTATTATCATTATTATTAGGCGTTGGCAAGCTTTACTGGCTATGGGCTGGATCACCCCCACAGAGATTGTCCGTGGGCCGGACTGGCGTAGCTCAATGCCGGAAATCGCATCTGTGCATGTCCACAGCGCCGGAAATCGCTTCTGCGCATGCCCAGATGCTGAAAATCACGCCTGCGCAGAAGCGGTTTTCAGCATCTGGACATGCACAGATTTGATTTCTGGTATCTGCGCATGCACAGACGTCATTTCTGGCATCATTCGGCGAGTCCCCGTGCCACACTGTTTTAGCGCAGCGCACAGGGACTTGCCGAGCAGGCGGCTCGGTTTGCAGGTGGCTCGTGGGCTGGTAAAATGGTCTTCGTGGGCCGCATCCGGCCCATGGGCTGCACGTTGCTGACCCCTGCTTTAACTGAAGATGGAAGGCCGTTTTGCTCAATGAAGACCTATGTGGAACAGGAAGCCCTTGCAGTCTCCTTCCTGCCCAGGAGCATCCAATGGCCAGCTTGGGTGGACGGAGCCAGACAGGGTCTGCTTTGCCGAGAGGGCAGGAAACTGCAGGTCAAAGGTTCACCACGAGGGGCAGGTGATGCAGCAGATTCTCACACAAAGAAGGGAAAATCCAATATATTTCTGTCCTGCTTGGGAGCTTTCCAAAGGGCACTTGACTGTGAATGTGATATACGTTGTTTGTACACACACACAAAACACGTAGAAGAAGAAGAGGGGGAGGAGGAGTTTAGATTTGATATCCTGCTTTATCACTACCCTAAGGAGTCTCAAAGCAGCTAACATTCTCCTTTCCCTTCCTCTCCCACAACAAACACTCTGTGAGGTGAGTGGGGCTGAGAGACTTCAGAGAAGTGTGACTAGCCCAAGGTCACCCAGCAGCTGCATGTGGAGGAGCGGAGACGCGAACCCGGTTCACCAGATTACGAGTCTACCGCTCTTAACCACTACACCACACTGGCCTGATACCCCTGCTTGTTCCGCTTGTCTGCCCCGTCCCCCCCACCTGATTATACTCCCTTTGCTTTGTACTCCCCCTCTCCGCCACAGCTTGCCTCAAGCACCACCGACTTTTCAAGGAGCAAGGAGACGCTTCACAGAGCTGCTTGCTAAACTGCTGTGTGAAGCAACGGCACCGACTTGGGCCTCACACTCTGAGTGCCCAGCATGGCCCGCCCACACTGTGATGTCATGATGCACATGCCGTGACATCATGATAGTGGGGGGTGAGCTTCAGTGGCGCGGCAACTGCCCCTCCCTCCCGAACGCCATTCTCTCTCTTCCTCCAACTCTGTGCTCTCTCTTCCACTCCACGCTCTTTCCATAGAGTGTGGTTCCTGCATGCCCGACCCTGTGTTTTGTGGGTACCCAGCCCCTATATGGGAAACTATATGGGAAACAGTAAGAGCTGTTCGACAGTGGAATTTGCTGCCAAGGAGTGTGGTGGAGTCTCCTTCTTTGGAGGTCTTTAAGCAGAGGCTTGACAACCATATGTCAGGAGTGCTCTGATGGTGTTTCCTGCTTGGCAGGGGTTGGACTCGATGGCCCTTGTGGTCTCTTCCAGCTCTATGATTCTATGATTCTAACTTTCTGTGTGCTTGGGCACCCAGAGGCCCGGGGAGATGGCGCCTACGGTGTGAAGCCTGCCTCCTGTTAAACTGCAGGCACATTTGATGGAGGGTGCAGGTGAACAGTGGCTTCCTAAAATTGCTTTATGAAGCACCTCCGCACCAACATTGAACGACTCACCTGGGCCTGCCTGCCATTCCTCGTGTTGTACTTGGCGCGGGCACCTATTGTGGTCACACACTACAATATATTACATTACATATTTATGTGTACAGGAATATATATCGGTATCTGCATCTACACACACACACACACACACACACACACACACACACAGCTTCTACATGTAATTGCTCAGTTGTTCAAGTTCTGGTCGAAAGTTCATGGACTAAATACAGTGGTACCTCGGGTTAAGTACTTAATTCGTTCCGGAGGTCCATACTTAACCTGAAACTGTTCTTAACCTGAAACACCACTTTAGCTAATGGGGCCTCCTGCTGCTGCCGCTGCGCCGCCAGAGCACAATTTCTGTTCTTAACCCGAGGTAATATTTCTGGGTTAGCGGGGTTAGTGGAGTCTGTAACCTGAAGCGTATGTAACCCGAGGAACCACTGTATCTTGATTGTCCACACTATGAGAACTGTATTTTACACATCCCAAAGACTGGATTTTGTAAATATAACCCCACTGTTTCAGGCTTCTGTGCTTGTGAGCTCCCCTCACCACTTTTCATGCACATAGGATCAGAAGATGGTGCTTCTGGTTTTCAGCAACCCACAGTTCCCCCATGACATCTGAATTCAGGGACCTGTGATCCATTTAAATGATGGCTAGTGAGAACAAGCTACAAAATAAACTGCAGCTTCTGATCCTGGCTGTTCTCAAACCATGCTTTAAACTAACCACAGGCTTCTGAACCTTGTTCCACGTCACATGGAACCTTGGTTAGTTTAAACTTGAAAGCAATCAGTCTCCTCTGGAATATGAGAGCAGTGGGGAGGAAGAAGTGTGCAAACCTTGAGATTCACCATAATAGGAAACCAACCAGGTTTTCCTAATATTTATGAACTGGTCTACAGGCTATTCCTTGCATATAGTGGTGAGATATATTTCATCCTTATATTTTTTCAGAACTCGACAGGATGCCAATTGTGGCTTGAGGGTCTCGCATGCCAGCTGTTTAGTGAAGAGAATCCTCTAGACAGAAGATTCTTTCTCATCCAAGAGCTTTGCTCTCTAGGAAGCCTCACGGATGAGGACACTCATGGCACGGTGACTGGAATTGTCGGGAAATAATGCCCGCCAGCGCTTGGATTTGCACAGCTGACGTTACACGGTAGACCAGCAATTCCCCATCTTTCTCCCTTTCTTCCCTTTCTTCTTTGGAGCGGCAAAAAGGCGCCCATCTTTCCCCCTTTTGGTTGGGTGTTTCTAGTGAAAATCCAGGGCCTTTCTTTGCCCGTGTGGGTTCCTGCTGCAAGGTGCCACAAAAGTAGGGCTGTGCTGGCTCAGTGGAGAGGGGTCTGCAGCCGGTCTTTCCCCCATAATGCCCCCTGCTGCAAACCTAATCATTACTTTAACTTTTTTCTATATATAAGAAAGATGAGTTTCTTCAGAAATAAAGGAAGTGAATTCCACACATTGAATCCCGTTCTGTTTACTTCTAAAGTTTGGTGTACCTTGATATGCTGGGTAGCTCTGGAACCGCCAGAATTTACAGCATTCTGCTTTCAGCGCTCACTCTTTGACCCAAGACTGGAAAATTCCGGGCACAACGTGAAAAATGCCTTTGCCAAACAACCCCACCACACCAAATATTCCTTTTCAGGTCTTTCCACTGAATTTCCTCATTTAGGAGGAAGTTCTGTTTGAAGCCCCCTCCAAAGACAGTCTCTACAATCTTACCAACCGAGAAAAGCCACCCGACCCCACTATGTTAAATAAATAAAAGGAATACGAAACAAACAACCGTCAGAACCAAACCTCCTTAAATAAGTCCAGCTATTGCACATTTAAACATTTCACACACCCCCACACCCCCGCAGTGTACGTTACATCTCAAGTCAATCTATGCTTTTGCCCTTCAGATGATGATTATTTTTGTTTCCTTTTGTGAAATGGGCTTCCTCTCGCCGGCCTTTTACATTTCATTTTGAAAACAAGCAAACAAAAAGTATTTCACTTCTCATCTTCCGAAAAGAAAGAAAGAGAAAGAATGAAAGCCCCAAATCCACTAGATTTTTATGAGATCATTCCGTTTCTGGCACGGGTCCATCTTGTCGCCGGTAATGTATTTCAAAGGCTTTAAAACAAGCAGCATGGAGCTCCCCCCCCCCCCGGTCCTTGGCGAGTCCTGCCATTTTGGTTCCAATTTTTTCAAAAAACCACACCAGAGTTTTGCTGTAGCCTCAGGGTGACGGAAGATGCCTTGAGGCTTAAACCCAGGAGCGGGGAGAGGAAAGGGGAGGCGACGTAAAGGCTGTTCTCACAGATAGTCATCCTCGCTGGAAGGGGACGTCAGCCCACAGTCCTCGGAATCGGAGTCTGACATGCTTTCGGAAGGAGTCCGGCTCATCTTCCACACGTGGGTGGAGAAGGTCTTCCCCCAGCTGCAGGGGTAACCCACAGTCCTCAGCTGACAGAGTAACTCCAGGCCAAGAGGCCCGTGGCTCCTCTCACTTCACTTGCTGCCTTTTGTACTCCTCTGTTTGCTCATCGCCGTCAACATCTGGCTGATGTAAGACGTCAGTAGGTCGTCCATCTTGTAGCCCTGGGGGAAGAGACGAGAGGGACAAGGTTGACACACCCTGATAGTGTTAGAATTCCTGCTCCGTGACTGCAGTCATGGGATTGTTGTCTTTCACATGACGGTGTATTGTAGCCTTATGAGGCTTCGCCCTCGGGTGGGGAAAATATTGCGCCCGGGAAAGGGAAGTGGGAGTCAACAGACACTCAAGGAATAGTTTCGGAGAAAAGGCTTTTATTTCTACCATCCATGAACTGGTAGAAGGAGCAAGTGTGATAAGTCACAAAAAGCATGCACGAAATTCACAATCATGTGCACAAGCTTATATACCCCTTTCCAGTTCCCTCCTCCTTTCTCCTCCCTCAGGAGTCCTCTGAGCATGAACAGAAAGCTGTCTTGGGACTCTTGGCACCCTTCCCTTAAAAGGGGTTTCAGAGTGTTCAGATATGTTTCCATCTCTTGTTCTGGCATGGTTCCCGGACAGAAAGCAAGTTGCAATGTGGTTCTTTAGCAAGGCCAGAAGGCATGAGAAAGGCCTGAGAAACAATGGACTGTTCTCTACCTTTGTTGCAGCAGAGCGGAATGTTTCTGATGCTTAGCTGCTGAGAAAATGATTTTGAAAAGCTTTGAGAACCTTTGAGCCTGCTTTGGTGGGGGGTGACTTCGGGCCTAGGTGAGGTCACCTGTCCGCACCTTCCTTCAGTATGTTTTGACTCCACAGAGTGGGAAGTGACGGAGACAGGATGTTTGTGTTACTGTGTTCCATGAAGTGGGACTATTGTCCTTTGTTCATTTGATAAGATACGATACGATACGATACGATACGATATGATATCTTTATTGTCATTGTCCCATACAGAACAGTGAAATTGAAAAATCTACATAAGACATTCAAAACCCCCTAAAAACTCTGAAACCCCATTTCAAAATACAATATACTCCTATAGAGACTCCTTATACTGTGTTTAAAACCAGAATTGCATTTGGGTAGAAACCAAATGTTGTCTGATGCTAGAGAGAGAGGGAGCCATGTTGCAGTGCTCTGTGTGTGTTTATATGTAAATAGATTAGCCAAAATGCTGAGTTGCTGAGGTCCGTTACGCAAAGCTGTGCTGTGAAGTCTGTCCCTAAGTGTGCCGATGTCTGTTGGCATCGGTCGCTGTGATGTTTGGGCGGAAGAAAGCTTTTGAAGCTCTCGAACGATCAACTAGGAGGGAGAGAACATGCCGGTCAGGCAAGTCTCTCTGCCAGGGTCCTACTCGAGTGTAGGACGAGCTCCTGACAGACAGACAGCACCCCCCCCCAGTACGTTTCTGAGCACAATTCAAAGCCCTAAATGTGTGGGATGTAAAGGGGCAGTCAGGTACAGAGAACTAAAGGCCTCCATGTTCTAACCGGTTGCTATGACAACCAGTTTGTCGGTTGCTGGTAGTTTTGAAAGATAACTGCTCAGTTGCAGTCGCCTCAGGACCAACGTCCCTCTGGTATAGTTCATTTGCTTGTTATGTAACCCAGACCTGCCTTCAGGTACCGTTCTGTAAACCTGAATGAATCTGAGAGTAAAATAGTTTTATATTAACATGAATCCGATTCATGTTAAGAGGGATTCAAAGGGATTTTTAACCAGGAAGTCATCTTTATTACTAGAACTCAGACAAGTCAGCAACAAGCTGATTGCTGCATAAACTTCTAAAGGGGATTGTTTAAATCTGCTAAAGTAAGGTTACCAGATTTTTTTCAATGAATCCGGGGACCCTTTTCAACTTCCATAGATTTTGTATAGGGACTGATTTGTAAATCTGGGGACTGTCCCCAAGAAACGGTGACATCTGGTAACCAAGTGCTAAAGTAAACCTTCCCACAAAATGGCCTTGGCCCAGGCTACCTGAAGGAGCGTCTCTACCCCCATCGTTCAGCCCGGACACTGAGGTCCAGCTCCGAGGGCCTTCTGGCAGTTCCCTCCCTGCGAGAAGTGAGGTTGCAGGGAACCAGGCAGAGGGCCTTCTTGGTGGTGGCGCCCACCCTGTGGAACGCCCTCCCGTCAGATGCCAAGGAAATAAACAACTACCTGACTTTTAGAAGTCATCTGAAGGCAGCCCTGTTTAAGGAAGTTTTTAATGTTTTATGTTTTATCGTGTTTTTAATATTCTGTTGGGAACTGCCCAGAGTGGCTGGGGAAACCCAGTCAGATGGGCAGAGTAATAATAATAATACGGTAATAATAATAATAATAATAATAATAATAATAATAATAATAATAATATTTTCTCCTCCTCCTCGGGTGGGATCCTTCTTTCCAACCTCAGGCATCAAGGTGGGGTCCTTGGATGTGGCCCCCCAGACCTTACCAGCTGGCCCTCAGAACTCTCCTCAAGCCAACACCCTGTCTGACACCCCGAGTCTTTGGCCTGGTTGATGTTTCTCCTTGAAGGTGGTTGGAATGTGGCCTTACAAGGAAGCAGGCAATCTATTTTGCACACTTTCCATATCCTCCAACATTCCTCCGATGAAAATAGGGACACCCTGCCCCCTAATAATATTAATTATAATTTTATTATTTATATTCTGCCCATCTGAGTTGCCCCAATCACTCTGGGCGGCTTCCAACATCTATAAAAAACATAATAAACTTTTAAAAACCTTCCCTAGACAGGGCTGCCTTCAGATGTCTTCTAAAAGTTGTATAGTTATACTGATCTCCTTGGCTTGGGTGTCGCATAACTCCATTCCCTCCAACATTTCTCCACTGAAAATAGGGACATCTTAAGCAAAAGTGGGACATTCTGGGATCAAATCAGACAGCGGGACGGCTTCTGTAAATCTGGGACTGTCCCTGGAAAATAGGGACACTTGGAGGGTCGGATATTTTCTTAGGAGTCAGGTTGCAGGAGAAAAGGGAGCTGTTCTCTGAAGTGAGCTGTTGGGGGGTGTCCCCCACACTTCCTCCTCACTGCCTGGAGAATGTGCTTGGTTGGGGGGAATGGGTGGGGTCCAGCTCTGAAAAGCAGACCTAGTCCCAACCGTTCCTCTGCTCAGGGTAATCATCTTTTCTACTCTCCATCTAATTTAGCAGGCCTATGCTAGCATATAAAAAGGAAAGGAACCCCTGACCATTAGGTCCAGTCATGGCTGACTCTGGGGTTGCGACGCTCATCGTGCTTTATTGGCCGAGAGAGCCGGCGTACAGCTTCCGGGTCATGTGGCCAGCATGACTAAGCCACTTCTGGTGAACCAGAGCAGTGCACGGAAACGCCGTTTACCTTCCTGCCAGAGCGGTACCTATTTATCTACTTGCACTTTGATGTGCTTTCGAACTGCCAGGTGGGCAGGAGCTGGGACTGAGCAACGGGAGCTCACCCCGTCACGGGGATTCGAACTGCCGACCTTCTGATTGGCAAGTGCTAGGCTCTGTGGTTTAACCCACAGCGCCACGCACGTCCCACATGCTAGCATATACACGGTACTTATTTTGTCATCACCTCAGTCTCCATAGATTTCAGTCATCTTTTTCCAGCCCTGAGGTCCAGAAAGCTTGTTATTACAGTGGTACCTCCGCAGTGAACGGGATCCATTCCGGATCCCCATTCGCAACCTGAAAGGAATGCAACCTGGTCTGTGCATGCACGGGTCGTGATTTGCCGCTTCTGCGCATGCGCGTGATGTCATTTTGCGTGTCTGTGCATGCGCGAGTGGCGAAACCCGGAAGTAACTCTTTCTGGTACTTCCGGGTCGCCGCGGGAGGCAACCTCAAAATACGTATCATGAAGCAAATGTAACAAGAGGTATGATTGTATTATATATATATTTATGAAGCAAAAGCAGAATTTCTCATGCACTATTGGTTCTGTGCCAGGATCCAAATTCTGCCCTGACAGAAGGAGCAAGGATCTG